CAGCCGCCCTGCACCCGAGCTGCTCTGCGTGGCGGGGTCAGCCTGCAGCCGCCCTGCACCCGAGCTGCTCTGCGTGGCGGGGTCTGCCTGCAGCTGCCCTGACCTCGAGCTCCTTTCTGCCTCTGTTGGCTCTCTCCCTGATGCGCCTGTCTGCTGAGCTGACTGAAAAAAAGTTTTTTGTTTGAAAATAACTTAACTTCACTGTTACTAACTGTAAACAATCCAAGCACAGTTAATACATTTCCTATGCACTGTTTTAGAATTTATATATCAAAATTCATACACAGGTTCATACACATTCTAGCCAGCAAATAGACTCCAGACCGCCTGTGACCCTGAATAGGATAAGCAATTTCAGAAAATGGATGGATGGATGGAATTTTCACTGACTTTTCCATGACTGACTGGCAATTTTCCATGACTATGTATTTGCTGAAACATCAGTCTACATCATGCATAAGAATAAAAATCTGTGAAAAAAATTTACCCTTAGTGAAAAATTACATGACGTGAACAAGAAGTGAAATGATTACATTATGCCCTGAATTTAACACATTTAACAAAATCTATTTTCTTCAAATTTCATAACTTTCCAAAACGTATGAACCTTGAGAATATATCAAACTTAAATATGATCATCACTTACCCTATGGTATCCGCATGTACAGGGGATTTTTTTTCCAAAGATGTCATGTTCTCGGACTTGGTGGTTGTATGGAGGAGTCAATGGACAGCTGTCAATTTTTTTGAGGTCAGCTTTCCATTTGCTGGCCCCCGGCTTCTTACCTGTGGTAAACCGGTACTTCCCCTGGGCATACAGGTGAAGGATACCTGCCCAGTAGGCGTCGGGTTTACCTGTCTTGGTCATTTCTGCAAATGTCAAATATCTGGGTAAATGAGGGACAACGTTTTTAGCTTCCTAATGAGATATACGTCACCGAGATTCACTGTGGGCAGTGGTGGCTTAATGGTTAGAGAAGTGCACTTGCAAATGAAAGATTGCTGGTTCGATTCCCCGAAAAGCAAGGCACCCCCCTCAAGCACTACTCCCCGGATGCTGAATTAACTGGCTCCTGCTATGTCGCATTCGAGTTAAATGCAAAGGACACTTTTCGTTGTTATGTGCTGTGGTGTGTCAACAATGAGCCCTGATCACCAGCTAGTTCTTAAAAAAAACCGTCGACTTTCCCCTTGCAGTTCGTGTTGTTTGTACATTGTTTATTATTCGAATCGTTCAAAATATGGATAAAATATGAGATGTCTTACAAGCGCCTTTTTGGGAACGATTCTGGAAGCACGTACACTGGCAATTTCAATAACACGCCCGGAAAGTAAATAAAAATATTCTAAGGTTCATAAATGCATAAACCAGCTTGTACATACCGCTTTTATTCTTACTAGTCTCTTAATTTCGCAGTCAGAGACGAGAAGGCGCGTTACTGTGCTTGTCACGTGACAATAATCCAATCGTAAAACATTGATTGCTGATTGGTTCTTCTAATCCATCGTCTGTTTCAACTGATTGGCTCTTTTGCCCCCTCCGGTCGCAGTGTTCGGATATGAGTTAGGACCTCGTTAGGAAATGTTAGGAATTCTTGCAATGTTGTTAGGAATTGTTAGGATATTGTTAGGAATCGTTAGGATTCGTTAGGATATTGGTAGGATATTGTTAGGAATCGTTAGGATATTGTTAGGAAATGTTAAGCAGGCCGATCGCTAGAAGGTACGGCCACGACTACAATACAAATACAAGTCTTCCTATTTTTCCTTGTGAAATAAACAATAATGTGCTTCAAAAGATGAGTATGAAGCGAAAAATATACATCGATTTACCTGATGTTAAGTACACTATAATACAAATTTGAAGAAAAGTGCATTTCTTAGAATCTGATGGACTGATCTGAAGCTTCCGTATATACACATTATTCTTTTCTCACACACTTAGAAAAGAATAGCTATTTACCGTGATTTTATTCATATTTACCGTGATTCGTTTCATGTTTTGCAAGTTTTCAATGCAAATAAAAGAAAGCGTGGTGAAATATTGATGAGCCACAAACTTGAGCCACGAAATGGATGCTAAATTGTCGTGCTTCGCAACACATGTATATGATTTGAATATCACAACCAAAAAGTAATTAAAATCTCTATTTCAGCTTTATGTTACGTTTATGATAGTTCTTTTGCACTTAAGACTTGATTTTCTTAAGATAATATTTAAGACCATTAAAAAATTATGGAGAGAACAAAATTATTGTTGGAGCCTTTATAGCTTATGAGTGATAATTATGTTGCAATGGAGTATGTGTTGTTGGATGAACACCAGGAAACCATTTATACACTGTTGGTGGAGTAGAGCAGTTGACCGTAACCTAAAATTTGAAAGCTTAAAAAAAGAAAAGGTTAAATTTGTTGTACCTTTGAGGTAGACATTTAATTTATATACTGTAGTACATCTCTGATAGACTCCAGATTTCCCACGACCCTCACTTAGAAAAAAGATGTGTGAAAGATGGATGTACAGTTAAGTATTAAGTTTACAAAACTTGTATGCAAGGATATACCTGAAATTGTTCATTTTCATAGTTTTTTTTATTTTATTTTTTTTACAAGAGCCTAATTTCTTTTAATGTAGGCTCATAGTTGCAGTGATTGGTGGAGCTGAACTAATATGTTACATTCAAATCATCAAAGCTGCTTTTGTGCTGCTGTTTATGATAGAACTCAACACTGCCTGTAGCTCGCAGCAATATTGCAGTGCACAAGTGTTTGAAAGTGACAGGGAGATACCGAGCGGCTGAAGGCCAGAGGGCATGGGGAGAAAACACAGCTCATGTACTTTGTCTACAAGAACCTAGATTAGGTGGCAGAACACTGCTCTGTGGTACATGAGAGCTGGGAGCAAAACAGTCAGAAAAGGAGGTAAATATTCTCAAATCTGAAAGATGTCCTCTCTACAGGAGGCCTACATCCATCACCATGTTTTTTCATTTTAATTTCATTCCATTAGAGATTTAGTTTAGAATACTGGCTGTCTATGACAGTTATGTGCACACATGAAGGCAAATACTGTCAGTGTGCCTTGTGTGCCAGACTATTTTATTGCACATATACATTATAAAAGTAAATCGCAAGGGCTTAATTTATTTGAACTCGTTCTTAACCATAACTCATTTACATGTTTAATGTTTGTCTTAAAGATGTAGTCTTTTAAATTGCAATGGCTGCTGTAACCATTGAAAGGTAGTAATATTTTATATTGAAACTTTGAATGATTTTAAATTGTATTTTTTCTACGCAATTACGGCTTGATTGATCCGAGTTCAAGATGCGCATGGAATTTTTTCCTACATCTCTTATTTGATTGGATATAATTTTGACGTGTGATGACCAAATAAATGACATGGTTTTAGTGCATGTTTTGTTTTCATAACATTAAGCAAGACAGAAGCCCCTTTCTCGTAGTTGCATAATGCATGGTGCTAGCGAGCAGCGTTGTTTCCATTCGCAATTAAAATATCCGACATAATAAAATGAAACGCTGTCCTTCTGCACAAGCGTACTGGAAACAACGCGTGGCCGCAAGTGAGCGATCGTGCAAACATGAATTTTTCTATGCAAACACGAGCATATCGTCGGCGAAAATGCTAAGCCGTTTAGCTTTCATTGTAGAGTGACGGTCACGTGATCGCCGTAGAAGGCCTGCTGTCTGTTTTCAGTAGAGGGAGAGAGAGGAAGAAAAATGGCGACTAGAGGCGACCCGGAGCGGGACGCCGGCCGTTCGCATTAAGCTTTCTCTCGCTTGTTAAGTCTGGGGCTGAGTGGAACTACTTCTCATATATCTACCGACTTTCGGCTTTTAGGCGGTGCCCGTTTTCCCGGGTTTTCGTGGGTGAATTCCGCGCGAAAACTGAAATTGGAAATAATACATTTGTATCTATATAATGAGGGGGAGAAGAGGCAGGCCGCCCAAACAGGCGCTGATGCAGGAGCCTTCTCCCGGGCTAGTCCGCGGTTTGAGACCCCGGCGAGGACTACGCGCAAGAGGGAGAGGTGCAGTAGAGGTCGAAATTCTGACTCCCAGGAGGGGAAATTACCATTCATCTAGAGGCAGGAGAAAAATGGGATCAACTACGGCATCAGGAGGTAGAGGAAGAGGCAGGATTGGTAGCAGAGGTAGAGGGAGACGGACGAGTAACAAGGTGGTTTACGATGACCATGAGAGCGATGAAGACGAGGATGCCGTGAGTTTGCGATCGGAGGAAGACGAGTTTGTCCGCGATGATCCATTGTCGGATGAAGACGAAGAGGCCTTAGAAGATGAGTCCGATTACCTGGAGGAAATACCCGACGATGATGATGCCAGCTACTGTACGGAGAGCAGTTTTCGGAGCCATAGTACGTACGGCAGCACTCCAGGTAAATAGAGGGCTTAATTAACCCGGGCAACTTGGAAAGGGGGGTGAGGGCGGGACAATGGTGCATGATCTAATCGCATATTGTCCAGGCGATTTATTATTTTTTACGGTGTAAACAGAGAGTTGTGCAGGCAGCTGTATTGTTCAAAATGGAGAATGCACTCATAAAGCAGGCCTCTGCTTATCGGCATCCAGTTGCCAGTTGTAGGACTGAGCTCGCGCCGTGCCCGCTGTCGCGCTCACTCGCGTGCCACGGCGGCCGCACTGTTACTCCTAATCTCTCGTATTATGGTACCTTTTAACATCCCTCTCCGCTTTTTTTTGCTTTTTCAAAATAAACGTGACGGGCTTTTTTTCTGTGCAGGATATTGATGAAATGATAATGGATTTTCGGAATTTATACATTCTTAATCTGCATAGTTGCTCGGTGAGCGCTCTTTTCTGACTGAAACTTTTTTTTCCTCCCCGAACTTGACGAACGGAGGTCTTAGCTTGGTTGACCGTGTTACGGATATTTTTTATTTTTTAGGTCAGTGTGTGAGCGCGATATGACGCGTGGCGACTGTCGTTCACAAATGTGTCTTGGTGTATTTGCGATGATAGCGCGGCAGCGAAGATTAAAGGTGGCCACCTCCTATTATCCTCAAAATCTACTGCAGGTGTCTATGACTTGTATATGTAGGATTTAACTCGTACTGTTATTAAGAATTCGTGTCTTTTGGCGTACCGTGGCAGATCCGGCGCTGATAAGCTTTGATTAGCTATTTCCCAGTGACAGGACGGCCACGCGTCCTTTTGTTTTGAAAATAGGCGCTTCTGCTTCACCTGTTGCAGACGAGAGTCCACGTCACAGGCCGAAAGGATCCCCACGAAACCAGCCGTGCTTTAATATCGGCCAGGGGGGCATTGTACGTGGCGCGTATGGCATGCTGATTGGCTTATTCTGTCACTTTAATTGTGAAATCCACGCAAAAGTCGAAAAATTGTGGTCAGCATCTCCATTTGAAATTAGATTATGTGCATTATGTTACTACTTTTTCCTAATTTATAATTAGCAACCTGTGGGTATAAAGCTGCATTTAAGTTTTTAGGTAAATTAATTTTAAAAAGACAGTAGAGTAACAAAAATTCCAAATCCACGCATCATCCGTATTTCTGTTTCTTATTTTCTCTTTTGTAAATACTGGAACATCGACCGGTAGCTGTGCATCATAATCACATGTGGTATTTTACATAAAAATGTACAGTCAGAACAGCTTTTACATAACAGACATATAATCATTTTTTAATCATTTTGCATTTGGTGCAATTGAAATTAGGGATGCTGTAATGACAATATTGTCAGTAATGGGGATCTACTGAACTTACTGTGATTTGGGGAAAGTTAATAGTAACTCCTTGCAAAAGTTTGGCATTTGTGTGTAAATATGTTTTTGTAACTCTTTCAAGGATTAGCTGAAAAGGTTTGTGAACCTTGGCTGCGTAGTATGTATCTTTGTCTGTTGTAAAATATCCATCCATCCATTTATCTGTTTATTTTCTGTAAATAATTATTTGGTACATGTTACAGCTACTTGAATTTTTTTTAACAAACCTGTTTACACATGCATACATTCATATTTGTAAATCTTTTAAGGGGATTGAGAATTCATTTTATTCAGTCAAGTCAATTGTAACATCTCAATTAAGTATAATTATGACTATTTTGAACAGTAGGCAGAATTAGTGACTTTTGTTGAAGACTGCAGTTCTGTTGTGCTTTCCTATTGGCGAAAGAAATGTTATGCAGAAATGTGAAATTGGTGGAGTTTGTGACGTTTGTGCTTTTTCTATTTGTTTTCTGTCAGTGTTTGTCTGATTTTGTTTTTTCCCTTTTCCCTCAGTTGTTAGATACTGTTTATGAGCTGATTGTGCCCTGTGCAGCGGAGGGGTCCATAGTGGCATTACTTGATTGTTTAATTAAACATTGTGGTTCTTGGCAGCAGTGACAGTCATTGTTTGTAGAAGATTAACTGGGATGTAGAGGACAAAAAATAATGAAGATGTCAACAATTTCAGTTCACTGAGTTTGGGCCTCGGGCTGCAGCCAAGGGCATTATGGGAATGCGATGGTAAGACAGGGAAGGGATTGTCCCAGGGGTTTTCAGATGTCCGTGGATATGGGAACATTCTTGAAAAGTCCTTCACTTCTTAGCACTTCACTGTGAAACCAGGTGGTATGCAGTTTTTTTGTGACAGTTTTTTTTTCTTTATACGGCACAGTGGAAAAAATATATTGCTCTGCTGTTGTGAATGTGAGCCTTAGCTTTGTCAGTATGGACTTCTGTAAGACATGGACTTGCATAACAGTTATGCTGTTAAGTTTTCTTTGTTCAGTTTTTGCCTTTTTGGGTGGCTTGATGTTGCGGGATGATAGAATTAAATTCTGTGCCCTCAGTGAAAGTAAACATTTCAATTAGATTTCCATTACCTCGTCAAAGGCTAAAGATGGATGACACTGAAAAATTCTAATGTCATTAGATAACCCTGGTTGCCCATAGCGAAAATGGCAATGCAGTGTAGTCAGTACGTGATGGTAGTTTTAGGGTACCATGCAATTTTTAAAGTAAAATTTAATTTACATATTAAGCAGACTATTCCAATGAAAGTCCAATGGATATCTTGTGCATTGTCGTACAAAACTGTATATATCTCAAGCATTCTGCGTGAATCAGTTGAATTTGTGTTTCAGTTTTAGAGTTTTCGTATCTGTTGCTTTGACTTTATGCCATCATTGTGTATCTTTTGTTGAGCCAAATGTTTCCTATGCTTTTATGATTTTGTTCTTTTCCTTGTTTTTTCTTTGATGTGAAACTAATAAACCTTTTCTTCTGTTTGAAACCCTTCTCTTACACCATTTCTTTCCAGTTCGGTCATTCATGTTGTTTTTGTTTTGTCTGACAGGGATTTAGTTACTCAGTGCAGTTATTTTTTTCTCCTTTGGTAATAAAATGTCTCATTGAGGTTCAATAGTGACTGTCACAGGAATGTGTTAATTAAATGATTGACATGTAACTCCTTCAGCTGGGTGGCATATCATATAAAGGACTGAGTTCAAACCTCAGCCAAGTGGTAATTAGAGTATAGTTCAATTTTACTTGCAGGGAATTCTTGACTGATCACAATAAGAATACAAAGACAAGTTTTATTTTGCGTAAAACCACTTGAGAGGAGAACATATGTGGCCAAAGAGGTAAAATTGTGGTGTTTCTCTTATTCCACACATTTGGTGATGTATATGAGCATATTCTTTTAATTGCTCTTTCTTTAATTAGTGTGATTTGTCTATGACATCGGAGTACTTACTTACCCCATGACTGTCCTTCTGTCTCCTCCTCGGTGGGCAGGCCGGCGGAGGACACGGGTACATCGTCCACGTTCACCGATTTTTGAGGAGAAGGAGATCCCTCCGCTGGAGCTTCCCAAAAGCTCTGAGGACCTCATGGTGCCCAGTGAACAGCTGCTCAACGTGGCCGCCATCTACGAGGTGCTGCGCAACTTTGGCACCGTGCTGCGTCTATCGCCCTTCCGCTTTGAGGACTTCTGTGCCGCACTGGCTTGCCAGGAGCAGTGTACGCTGCTGGCAGAGACTCACATCTCCCTCTTGAAGGCCATCCTTCGTGAGGAGGACACTTCTAATACCACCTTCGGCCCGGCTGACTTGAAGGACAGCGTCAACTCCACACTGTACTTCATCGATGGCATGACTTGGCCGGAGGTGGTGCGTGCCTACTGCGAAAGCGACAGCGAGTACCACCACGTTCTACCATTCCAGGAGGGTGAGGACTATCCGTTTGGGCCTCTGGAAAGCAAGATCAAGGTTCTCCAGTTCCTGGTGGATCAATTCCTCACCACCAACATCGCCCGTGAGGAGCTGATGTCTGAGGGTGTGGTGCAGTATGACGACCACTGTCGCGTGTGCCACAAGCTGGGTGACCTGCTGTGCTGCGAGACCTGCTCTGCCGTCTACCACCTAGAATGTGTGAAGCCGCCGCTGGAGGAGGTGCCAGAGGACGAGTGGCAGTGCGAGATTTGTGTAGCCCACAAGGTGCCGGGCATCATGGACTCTGTGACCGAGAGCCAAAAAAGCAGGCCTTACATTCGACAAGAGCCCATTGGCTATGACCGGCATCGGCGGAAATACTGGTTCCTAAACAGGAGAATCATAGTGTAAGTAAAGCACCTTTTATGTCATTTTGAGATAGAGCTGCTTAAGGGCTTATTCTCAGTTACGTTAGATTAATATAGGAAATCAGGTTTGTTACTGGTTCTGGTGGGCAGCAATGCATGGGTCCTCCTTGGTATTTTAAGTGTTTGATTAAAATAATTATGCTTATTGAACCTACTTTGACTGTCTCTCCCTGTGCTGAAGCAGGAAGTGGTCCACCAGGACCAGGGGTTGAGTCCTCTTGATGCTGGAGATAGCTGTTTCAGACATGGAACATAGCATCATTTTAACTGGGATGGCCTTAAATTTCTGGCAGCACCTTCTCTGGCTCTAACTTACTTTAATGAAGAGGGTGTTTTTTTTTGGGTGGGGGGGTGCTGAATTTATCCTTTCTTATAACACTTCCTAAGCTCATAAGTCCTAAGCAGGCATGACATGAAATTTGCAGTGAATTTTTGCAGCTAGAGGCTGATTCCAGTGTTGGTCCGTCAGTGCTCATTAACAGTGACTAATAACATCACATAGCTTATGTACATTTTGATTAGGATAAAACTGGCTTGCGGAAATTATTTGGGTTTTTAAGATGCATTTTATCGCTCATAATCTAGCAGTTATTTGCTTGTTTAAGAAAGTTGTTGGTTTCAATAAGCAGGTATTTGTTTCAGCTAAACCTGCTGAATGTTAATGCCAACAGATTATGTAACATTAGGCCTTGATATAATGGCATATCATTGTTATTTACATGGGTGAAGAAACTGCATTTGTCATGGCTTTGTACGGTGTAACAAGTTTTTAAATAATTACATTGGGTTTAAAGATGCCCTTTTCGTCTGGTTATGTCTATACAGAAATCTCATTGTATTATATCTAAGTGTTGCAATTTCACAGGTATAATTAGGTGTAATGCTGTGTAATGTAGTCATTTAGTCTGATTTGCGCCCCTGCTTGGCAGTGCAAGGAGCTGTCAGGTCGATTGTTCGTACCTCATTTCTTCCACATGCTCAAGGCGGGGGTGTGTTTTAAAAGCCCAGAGTGTTCACATTCTGCATTGTGCTGAGATTTATTTACTCAGAGTTGCTTGTTAACCTGATGACAGTGTGTTTTCTTTTGCTTTATTTTAATTTTTTTAAATGATGCGTCACAATTACAAAATCTTTCATGGCTACCTTATTACCACGCCATCATCTCTGAGAAGTGTTACATTGTTGCTGTTTGATCTTGGTATTGTGTGCACCAGTGTATTTTAGCAGTCAAAGCTCACCATGCTGCACGTGTGCGCCTTTTGGCCTGCATACATTTTAATACCCACTGCTTGAGAGGAGGATTCACTCACCATCTGTACAGTGCAAACGGCTACAGTTAACCGAGGTTTGTTTGCAGCAGTTGTGTTAAATGTTGAGGCCAAACACAGTGTGATGCTATGGGATTAAAGAGATCATGAAAACCAGGAACTTTCTGTTGTAACTTTGAACATAAGACCAAAACTACTATTTAAAAACTCATTTGTGCTTTTGAAATGATGTATTTTATTAATTTTCTTTTTGGGAAGTAATGATTGTCTTATTTTGCCATATTACAATTGTCTTTAATCCGGTTCATATGTGCTGCATTTGCTGGTTTGGTTTCATTCCCTCAAAGGAGATGACTGGTTTTATTGAAGGCCACTTTTGAACAGTGAAATGGACAGCTGCATATGCTTAAATATGTAAAGGTGGTTTTTTTTCTTTAAAGTGGCAGGAACTGAACCCTATTGTCATGATGAGGGGCCAGTATTAGAATCTTTTGTGTTGCTTTGTGTCTTGTGTGAAGCAGAGTTTGTGTGGACGGATCACTCAGCTATATGGCCTTATGCACCCCTTGTTATTTTTTTCCATGATTTTCTTTCCATGTACAAAGCACTTGGCATATCAGTCCCTAAGTTCCTCTTTCTCTGCTACCCCATTGTTATTCCTGTTGTTCCTGCTATACATTTATATTTAATTAATCTTTTGAAGCTGCAGTTCATCTGTGAAGCTGATCAGTTTAAACAAAGCAAGGTATTTTCATTAGATATGATCGTTAACTGGGATTGTATAGCCAGTAAATGTGTGACAGTCTTAATGTCTCTTTTAAGATTGGCATAAACTGTCTTTTTCAAATGGTTAATTCATCTTTCTGAAACTCGTATCAGATTAAACTTATTGGATTTCATTCATTGAACCAGTCAATCGTATTGGTTAAATTAAGAGAGGTGGTGGGACAATGATAACTTGGCTAGTTTTTAATTGGCTGGTGGTTTATCATTCTGCTGTCATACTGTTTGATTGGCTCCCATTATGTTGGAGAGTAGAGACAGTTTAGTCATAATTGTTCATTGACGCTCAGTGATTTGTTTACTGGCAACCGCATGCTCATCCTGAGAATCTCCATTGGTGAGTCAGAACAGCTGAATCAGGCAGCATATTGAATAAAATCTTTTCACTCAGTGATGAGATGTGTTCAGAAAGGAAGTAGTTTGTGACCAGCATTACTCTAACCCCCGTAACCTCTTGAGCATGTAACATTGTAGCTGTTTTCCACTCCAGTATTTTTTTCTTTGATTTCTGAAATTCTGTAATTAGCAGAACTAAAACATTTGCAAAGTATAATTTCTTTGTTTTTTGCAGCATATTTTGGGAATGTCTTAATACGTAATATTGGAATTGAGGTTAAAATGCACGATAATTTCTTGTCATATCGGCGCAAATGCACATAAAATACGTACGCGTTCACAATCGATTGCCGCATGTATCGCTTTTAAAGGTGAATGCATACTTGCGTACCAGTTATGTCAATCCCTGTTAATTTAAATGGATTGTAGAAAAACACAAATGAAAAATTGTCTGTTGTGAAGGGTATTGAGATGGATCAGACTACACATGGTCCTTCTGTAGTTGTCACTAATAGTGGAATACTGCTGACCCTTTTGAGGTCAGGCGTGTGTGCGTGGATGAGTGTGTTCCCACATGTTCTAACTATATTCTCTTCATCTAGTGAGGAAGATGGTGAGCATGAGCATAAGGCCATATGGTACTACAGTACCAAGGTCCAACTGGCTGAGCTCATGGACTACTTGGACAAAGAGTACTGGGAGACGGACCTGTATGAGACCCTAGAGGAGATAAGAGAGGAGGTCCATACCCACATGGACATCACAGAAGATCTCACCAACAAAGCACGGGGTAGCAATAAGTGCTTTCTGGCGGCAGCTAACGGTAAGCTGAGCTCTATGCTAGCATCTGGAAAATTCCCTGGGGGAGGCTACACGGCACGGTGTGTGGGGATGCTGGTGCGGGGAACATGAATCGTTCTCAGTCAGCTGTGCAGTCTTTCCTTCTCTCTGTTAACGAGAAAGGTCTTCTACTGTTACTGGGTCACGTGGAAGGATAGGTTAGAAGCGGTAAATCTCTGTACTCTAAAACCGAAGGTAACTTGGGAGGGGGGGCACTCAACCCCCATGGCTACATTACCGTTGGTATTTAATCAGAAACATGAAGGCTGAAATGGAAAATAGGTGGGTAACCCAGATGAGAACACAGAAAGCTGTGTTGTGTGCTAAGATTAATGCGTTTTCAGTTGGTTTCCTAGTACTGTATTGGGGGCAGTCTTTGTGTTGAAGTCAGGTAAACTCAGCCCTAGGTGAAATTCTGCCAGTTCCTGTGTATTAAATACTCAAGCAAAGCCTCCTCGTATTTGTAAGAACTACATTCTATTTGTATTTTTATGAATGGGACTTGCATCCATTTTTAAATCTTGCAGTGGAATACTATGTTACAGGATGAGAGCATTTCACGTTGTCTGTCTAGGCACGCTCATGGTCTGTCAGCAGAGGATGGCATGGCCGCCTCCGATTTCACCTGTCTGCCGATGCTTATTTCAAAATAAGAACAGATATGAAGCATCCTAAATTAGCTTGAAAAACAGACAGAGCCATGTGGGGAAAGGCTCAGCGACCCACCACGGTTGAGCTCACTTATACACTCACAACGAGCATTTTACGCTGCCGGTGACATGCGGCATTTGATCTGTGACAAGAGCCCCCCCACAAGCTGCTGGAGCAGATGCCGGGAGTGACTTCAATAGCCCCCAATGCTGCCTGTCTTGTTTCTCTCTGTGACGGGTAGTGGAATGTATGGTGGTGCTGGTGGTTTAACAGAAAGGAAAAAGGTGTCAGTTTCCCCTCTGCCTCTCTCTCTGTGCCCCTCTTGCACCAAATTGGGGCAGCCTGGTCACTCTCTCACGGCTTTACGGTTGCTGTTGCCGCATGCTCATCCAGTTGCACTTGCCATTTCCAGCCACCCACAGCTGCATATCTGTGTTGCCCAGCCCTGTGTTGCCGTCTCTCACTTTGGACTCTGCTGTGCTTTGCTTAGATGTACATCCTTCGCCAGAATTGCTAATGCATTTTAGTCCTTTTCAGGTCATTTGATCATGATGTTCTTGTAACTTCTTGATGATGTTTTTACGTATGTTTTTCCCCCTCAAATTGATTATAGAGGATTTATAGAGATTTCTTTGACCCCTCCCACCCCGTGTACAGTCACTGGTCATATGCCATGACATTTCAGCTACTGGGGTACCATCCACGAGGGCTCCAAAGAAAGGTTTGGTGAGGGGATGGCAACACGACAGCAGAAAATAGAAGGGAAGGACTGCAGGAGGGCCTCCCAGTGCTGCTGCAGCCCCCCAGTGATGATTGTCAGTGCCCAAGCCAAGCCTCAGTGGGCCGTTCGGTTGTTGGGCTCCATGGCACCTGTGCACTAATTAGCCCCCTACTGGATGGGGGTGGGGGGCATAGCAAAAACATGCAGCTTAGCTACCAGCTCCTATGCACCACACTGGGTTTCACACAGTGAACGCACATCTGCAGTGGAGCAGGAGTGACGGCCACGCCAGAGCTGGTCCTCAGTCCTTTGGTCCGTAGGTCTCCCTCTTAGGGTGTTTTTCCACTGCACCAGGTACCGTACTTATGGTATTTCGATAACGTACCAGAAGTACGGTACTTCAAGGTTTTAGTTCTCCACTGGTGTAAAAACTGGTACCAGGAGCGAATGACATCACAACACAAGGCTGGGTGTGTTGTACTGAATTCGAAAAATTGCTGTAGTTTTTTATACGGCTAGGCGATGTGCAATATCATGACCAATGTCACATGTTATGCACTTGCAGTTCTTGCATTACTAGTCAGCTATATTAAAATAAGGCCTTTACTTACTTTAAATGCTGTACAGACATTATAGCGCAGGGGGTTAATGTTTTGCTAAAATATTTTTACCCTTTTACTCTGTCATGCTTTGCAATTTCAATTATTATTCGTTTTTTAGATTCTTACAAGTTTACAAATCAGTTTAGAGTTTTACCTGTGCGCGTGCGTTATTACAACAAAATCACATCGCTAGGACAGCCCGCTATATGCATGCTGTATTAGTATTTTTCTTTATTTTCTTGTCATGCCAGTAGGATCTTTTTGTTGTACATGTTCTTACGCTGAAATCGTATTCATTTTTTTTTTTCTTTCTTTATCATTATTTTCTAAACTGTTTTCAAGGCGGGATGTGTATTGCATTTCAGAGGCAGGCTAATTGCATAATGAATCGACTGAAATTCAAGTCCCCCCCCTCCCCCCCGAAGTACCAAAGAAGTTCCCCAGTTGGTTTGGCACGTTCGGTACTTGAACTTTTGGTACTGGTACTCGACTGGAAGTCAATGGAAAAGCAAAAGTACCATACTTGGTGCGCTGGAAAAGCGCCCTTAGGGAAGCTGATGAAATGGGCTGGCATTAGTTAGGCTTGTAGTATGTGGCTGTATGACGTACAGTTGATGGGTGATGCTGGCACAGGTATTTAAGGAATTATCTAGCAGTGATGGTTATATAGAGAGGGATGGGTTCGAGACAAACGTTTCAGTGTGACCTTTTAGGTTCTGTTTATGCGCCATTCTTAGAAAATCCAAGTCACTGCCCTCCTTTTTGGGATGAAAATGTTTCATGAATAAAAATTCATTTTGAGAACATCATGAGCATGTTTGATAAAGATTTGGGCATTTATCATTGTTACAGTTATGTGTTTTTGGTTACCGGGGGAACGATCTGCCACTGTGTTGGTTAAGTAGGATTTGGTGACAACTTTCAACTTACAAACTTTCAGACATACAAATGAAGAGGACTGTAAGTCCAAATAGTGTTCGTTGGGCTCCTGTTTCCTGTCCGCAACATCAATTTTTTTTTCTGCGCACCAATTCCGCCTAGTAACGACTTCTGGCCGCTACTCCCACCGCGCAGCAGCGTAGTGTACATACTCCTAGCATCCTAGTTCTTCGCACTTGCGTATACCCTTAAAATGATATTGAATAACGACTTACGAAGATTTCAAGTTACGAACGGCTTCCATGGGCCCCCCTTCCCCTGTTTTTTTTTTTTTTAAAAACAAGGTTGTGGGTTTGAATCCCAGTGGGGGTCCAGCGTCGGCACTCTTCAGGAAGCTGCCTCACAGAAGTTGCTCCAGTTAAGTGCTGTATAACTCTGTATGACTGTGTTAAATTAAAAACGAAGAGGGAAAAAAGGTATTTGTTTAACGTAACGGGCCATTACTGAGTCATGAAGGTCCCCGCCACCCACACTCTCTTTCGTTACCAGTTTGGGGTTTCCCAGGAAGGAGTAGTGGAATGAATCAGGTTTCCTCCATGAGATTATGACGCATTATGTTGTGAAGTGAAGATTTCTGTTACTAGAGTGTGTTGCACTGTGTGTGACTTGGACTGTGGTCTGATCTTTTAAGGATTAGATTTTTTGGCTTAATGCTTGCTGGTGGTGTGTCCATGATGTCATACCCACCAATGAGGTAGTTATCCTCAGTGGTTTCAGAAACACCGTATAAATTTGAGGATAAGCTGCTGTAGATTGTTTGTTTTCTGCAGCTTTATGGTTGAGGGACAGAACGAACTGCTCTAACTGTTCCCAGCTGTTTGTTCCACATGGTTGAATGGAAGGATGGAAGCACACTGTCTTTGACCTCTGCTATCGTGGTCAGTGTTTGAATGCATGGGGTGCAGGGTTACTAAACCTGTGCAGTTTCTTTCCAGACTCTTAGCTTCACAGTTCCTGCCCCTGTCTCTTCTTGAGAAATATGCCACTCCTCAGAGAATAAGTGTTGGTGGATGTTTCTTTGTGTGGAACCTCTATCAAGCAGCGACTGTGCAGCCTTTCATATTACCAGAACTGTTCTTTCAGGGGTTTGGCACATGGGCATTAATTCACAAAGCTGATTCCATGTCAGGTGGCACATAGGCAATCCTGTCAATTTTAAATGCAAAATATGTTATCAGCTACCCCCCCCTCCCCCCCATGTGGGTCATCTTTAATTTATGGCTAATTGTAGAGGAAATTTTACGTGCATAAAAGGTGACTGTCTTAAGGGAATCATTTTAAGATTTCAGTCCTGAAGGTCTGTGGTTCCTTATGCTGGGGAATCCTGATCAGGCCAGACCTGCTCTTGGGTTTTCAGCTGTGCCCTCTTTGAACTCTGATCTTGGATGGCATGGTTTTCCCAGAACTGGGAGGCCTAACCCAGAAAAATCAGACCGGCTTGTTTGCCAGAAGGGTCTGTGATCAAGGGTTTGTCTTGATTTATATCGACTCGGGAGAGTGGAGGGTTGAGTGCTGAAATACATTCATGTACATCAGCTCAGTTTAGTTCTAGGGTGGATTTGGTAGCATTGACCACGATGAAATCATTTGAGGTAATTATTTGCTGACATCTGCTGGTCATCGTTGACTGTTAAGTAGGTGAATGACTTAGCTGCTGATTTTTTTAAGTTCTTGCTGTCTAAATATCCTTTGTCAATGACTTTTTGAGTGTTAATCTTGATTTCCCTCCTGACTTTGAATCTATATAACTTTCAGAAGGTTAGTGATCGCAGAATCCTCCGAAAGTCTAGTTACTCAGTGCAGATTTCAGTCTTAGTAGGTTTAAAAAAAAATAAAAAAAAATGTCTTTTTCCCCTAGAAACTATTTCTTTGTAGAGATTTTTTACAGTGTTCTGCAGTTGCATGGGCCTGTCATGATAGAAAAGGTATGAGGGGCCATGGCATTCGGTGGACAGCTCTGTGTATGAGTACCCTCCCTGGATGCTACCCCTGAACGGCCCCCTACTCATCTCCCCACAGAGGAGATCCTGGAGCGGCTGAAGGCCAAACAGGAGGCGGAGCTGGAGGAGGTGAAGCGCAAGGCAGCGGAGGAAGCTGAGAAGACGAGACGGGAGTCGGGGCTCACTGGACCGGCCCAGTCGGAGAAGACTGAGGAGACGCACGTCATGGACAAATCCCTCGAGCGGGATGATGAGCAGAAGAACCAGGCAGCTAAGGAGGAGCAGCCCATACCAGGTAAGGCAGTAAGATTGGGTGCTTGTCCTCAGAGATCGATTCCATCTGCTCCTTCTGTCCCATGCTGGGGAGCAAAATGTACCTTTCCTTCTCAATATATGGGCCACCTCCTGCCCTCCCCCCAAGTACATTGATTTAAATAAAGGAAGCGGAACGTGGGAGTATGTTTCAATTTGTCTTTTCGTTTTAGAAACAACTTAAAATTGTCGATTCCAACAAATTGACTAAATATTTCTTGTGCAGGTTGGCATAATGACATTGTATTCGCTAACTTGTTTTCACTCTTCTTAACATGTTAACTTTGTTTTGATTGCAGATGAACTTGCATGTTAGACCATTTTAAGTAAAAACAAGTCGATTGCATTCAGATTCATGCTGCAGAGATTTGGATATTTCACGTTTTTAATCTTTCTTTTGGACACATTTATTTGCGTTTAACTGTCACTCATTCGGGGATGGACTTGCCGAAGGAGTCCAGTTTGGTATATTTCCATCCTATCAGCATCCGTTTTTTTTAAATACTGCTGATTGTCATATAGGAAGCTATGGAAAGGTACAAAAATAAATGGGGGGGGGGGGGGAAAAAATGGGGTTTTTATATTGTGCATTCCACTGTAGCAGAAGCACCCCCTACTGGAGAGGGAAGCAACAGCTCAATAGGGCTGAAGCCCCAGTCGCCGTCCCCAGACAGCGTCCTCCTTTCAGCTGCTGAGTACACTAGTCCCACTGAAGGGGCCCTGGCTGGTCCCGCCGTGTGCGCCGAGATGGCCAAGGAGGGGCCAGCCGCGCGAGAGCTTGTGCAGGAGCCGGCAGGTACAGCGGATGTGCTCCCTGGCATCCCATCTGCCACCCTCTCCCCCCCCCCCCCAAGCGCTTCTGTCTCCCCTCCCCCACTCTTCTCAAGGGGTGGGGGTGGGCGCTCTTTCGCTGTGCTGTGCCTGTGTGCTTCTCCATCCCGGTCCATTCGGCTCAAGAGTGCGCTGTCCGTTTCCCGGGTGGGAACAGCACCACCGTTAATCAAGAATCTGTTTTAAACATTGTCTGCAGAGCTCTTTTCTTCTTGCCAGAATTAGTGGTCGAGCTCGCATGTCACATGCACAACCAAATCTGACTTGAATATGGACTGATGCTTGTGTTCCAAGTGTGAAATACAAAAAAGCGGTCACTCCTGTGTGCCCAGGGGCACGGCTGTGGGCTCGGTCGCAGTCACTCGCAGCACTGTGCTGGATGCCTGCCTTACAGCTGCAGGACAGAGTGACTTCACGGCCAAACGTCCCTCCATCTAAGAACAAGAGACTGCCTCTAATCTGGCACAGGCAGCATTCAGCTCTGTTTAAATCTGCCTGCAAGTAATTCACATTCTCATGGCATCTCCCCTTTATGTAAAAGCCGGCACCACCACCCTCCATGTTTTCAATGACCCACTTATTCTTGTTTTCATACCAAAACACATATGATCGTTATTTTATTCTGATACGGACAGATCCTTTTATTTTTCTTGTTTTATTCAAGTGTGGGCATGTTTCATATTTGTATATTTTGATCCTGCATGCATGGCAAAATGGTTTTCATGTCATATTTTCTTACGCCTATTTGCATGAGGACATTTATAGAATCCTCTACTTAAAGAATACAGCTCAGTCAGCTAATGGTTTCCAAGCTTTTTTTTTCTTTTTTTTTGCTTTAAATATGTTGAACTGCCTCTGGTCTTTTGTTGTGTGGCTGACAAATCAGTGGGGTATTGTTTTGTTCCATTGGGCTGTCTCCTCCCACCACTGTCCAAAGGCCCGGGTATTGTTGGCTGTCTGCTTGCTTGGCTTGCTGATGTGCATGTTCATTTCTCAGCTACAGATCTGTCATACCTTCTGTGCAGTCTGCTGATTGCACACGATATTGTATATATATCCGTGTGTGTGTGTGTGTGTGAGAGAGAGAGAGAGAGAGAGAGAGAGAGAGCGCGTTTTTGTTGTGCATGTATGCATATGTGACAACTGTGAATACTGGCTGGATGCTGATCTCACACCTGTGCACTAGAGGGAGCTGTTGTCAATCTAACTGCACTTTCATTCAGCTTTTCCAAAGGAGCTTCATGAGAATTCTTCTGCTCAGTGTAAATTTCATGCCTTTTGCCCCAGTTCCCCATCGTGTCATTATTCTAATATTCTATTTGTATATGATGTATATGATTCTATTCTTGTGTATCTCAAGATAATGCCAGCCCCAAAACAATATAGTATCATTTGTGCAGTGTTTCTTCTGAAGCAGGCTGACGAAGAGCCTCTCTCATGTCGTTTGATTCATCCTCAGATCAGAATTCGGAGCCTGGGTCCCACAGCGAAGAAGGGGTCCCAACGCTAAGCCAGCCCCTGCAGGCTGGAGAGGAGAGCAGCGGCAGTCAGACGTCTGTCTCTGAGGCCTCCAAGGTCCCTGAGGAGCCAGACGTATCAGACAAATCTTCCCAGTTGTCTGTCACCAGCCAGGATGATATGGGTTAGTCATAATGGGTCAAGTTATCAAGAGTACAAACCACATGGTAACTGTGATACAAAAAGCTGCTCGTTGGATTGACCTGATTTAGTAAATCTGACTTGAATCAGTAAAAGCCGCCGTTTGCACCTGTCAGTTGTCAGAAGAATCTTACTGGTGGTTTGCCATTTAACAGGTGAGGGGAAAGAGAAGGCCAGCGGTGATGGAGTGGGCGTGGCCCGGGGGGCGTCCGCTGCCACACGCATGGTGACACGCCTACGCAACCCTGACAGCAAGCTGAGCCAGCTCAAGAGCCAGCAGGTGGCTGCCGCCGTGCACGAGGCCAACAAAGGATTCAGGGAGGGCAAGGAGGTGAGCCGGGGCCGCCAGTCTGGGCAGCTCCCACTCACTGTTACGAATGCGCAGTCTGCCAACCGTGCTGTTGAGGAGCTAGCTCGCTTTTCCGTTAATGGAAGACGGCCTTTCTCGTTTTGACCTTTGCAGTTACGTGCCGCTAATCTGGTTGTCATAAAGTTATGTCATCGTAAGAGCGATGTTCTGCAGCCAGTGTGACAGTACTGGTCCTCCACCCAGGTCCTGGTGGTGAACACCCAGGGAGACATTTCCCGTCTGAGCACCAAGAAGGAGGTGGTGATGAAGGGAAACCTCAACAATTACTTCAAACTGGGCCAGGAGGGCAAATATCGCGTCTACCTCAACCAGTACAGCACCAACACCCTGGCACTCAACAAGCACCAGCACAGGGAGGACCACGACAAGCGTCGGCACCTCTCCCACAAGTTCTGCATGACCCCTGCAGGGGAATTCAAGTGGAACGGTTCTGTTCACGGCTCCAAGGTGCTGACCGTCTCCACGCTGAGGCTGACCATCATCCAGTTGGAAAATAACATTCCTGCCCCATTCCTGCACCCCAACTGGGCCTCTCACAGGTAAGAGTTTGTCTCTGCTTGGACCCAGAAGTCTGGGCTGTTGGCTTGTGTGCAGTGGTCATGTGATAAGCATTGCCCCTTTCACACAAAGTCTGTGGTGCACCATAAATGAAATGCTAGGGTATTACAATGATAATGGCTGCTTTACTATATGGTCACAATCTGGTGGTGTTCTGTGTGCACAGTGAACTTGGTCAAATGTCGTATTGATTGCAGGTCAAACTGGATCAAAGCTGTACAGATGTGCAGCAAGGCGCGGGAGTTCGCCCTGGCTCTGGCCATCCTGGAGTGCGCCATCAAACCTGTCGCTATGCTGCCCGTGTGGAAGGATGCGCTGGGGCACACGAGGCAAGTGAGGTCACGGGTGACGCCGAAGGGCCCCGTTTCTCGCGTCCCTGTCTCCATGTTTTGAAATGCGATCGCATCTAAAGACAAATGCAGTGCTAACAACCACTCTCTTTAGCACGCCGTACGGAGGATGTTTACAGAGTCAGGTTTACAGGGAGCTGATCTGCAGTGGATCAAATGCAATATTGTGTGTAAGAAAATATTTATGCGGGACCACTACCTGCTCTGCTGTTCCTGGAGCCAACCACAGGTCTTGCCACTTAAAGAGTAGTGTGTGCTTTATATATGGGGAGTGGGGGGCTTCCTGCTCCGGGCTGGATTGGGCAGGGGACTGCACGGGAGCCCTCGGCACTCCAGGGTGCATGGGCAGGCTGGGGTTTGTGATCTGTGGCTCTGCTCCAAAGAAAGCCAGGGAGTTACCATGCCTCTTTGATCTGTTAGCCTTTTCAGCTGTGGCTTTCTAAAGGGGCTTGGCGGCACCCTCCTAATCGCCCCCCCCTCCGATTTTTCCCCCCCTTCTACCCGTTCAGATTACATCGAATGACCTCTATTGAGCGAGAGGAAAAGGAAAAGGTGAAAAAGAGGGAACGAAAGCTGGAGGAGGAAGAAACCATGCAGCAGGCCACCTGGGTGAAGTACCCCATTCCCATTAAACACCAGGTCAGTCTGGCCGGGATTCCTCCACTGTGGTCACTTCTGATAGCTACATTACCTGCTGCTGGTTCAAGCAGAGAGATGATCTGTTATCTGTTTTTCCTTTCGTACAAAGGTGTGGAAGCAAAAGGGAGAGGAGTACAGAGTGACTGGTTATGGTGGATGGAGTTGGGTCAGTAAAACCTATGTACAGCGCTTTGTCCCAAGACTGCCCGGAAACACCAACGTCAACTATCGGAAAGACCTCGAGGGTTAGATACGTCTTGTTTTTCTGCTGTTTGTTTTTGTTGCCTGTGTTCTTCAGATACCATTTGAAACTTTAATGTCAAGCTTATTTGTTTTTGCGTATGTTATTTGCCAGCCGCCAGAAGCGCAAAGAGAGGCATGTCATTGGACGTGGACAAAAAGAAAAGCCCGGAAAAAAAAAGTGTGACCACTGAAGCACAAGCGGAACGGGGTACTGTAGAGTCTTTAAAGCAAGAGAAAAGCCAGGACCTTGTGGCAGATTTGCCTTCTACAGACAGTTCACCTACTATAAAAGAAGTACAGCAGGAAGAGAAGATGGACGGTACAGTGGAGGATAAAATGGCGATGATAACTGACATCGAGACGCAGAAAAAGATAAATGGCAAACCACTTGGGATGGAAAAGGAAGAGAATCCTGAAGAAATGGTTATGGAAGCCAGCCTGCCAGTCTCAGACCACAATAATGATAAAGGTACACATTTCAGTTAAATTGTCATCGCTTCATGTTCGTGAGACTTGGGGCCGGAAGATCCCTGTGAATGTGAGAATTTGCGAATAATACTTGGGCCCATTATTAAAAATGCAAAATTAACGGCACTGAAAATTGTTAAAGTTACTGAGAGAAACACGAGATTCCACGGTCATAAAGGCAGCTGATGTGTGAGGCTGGTTGCCAAGACAAAGATGCCCAGCCTGTCCAAGCCAAGATCTGCAGATCCCAAAGTTCTTCTTTTTCTTCTTACCAAAAATAACTTTTAATATTAAAAAGATATAGTCTGTACTTACACTGACAAATAATAACACTAACATTTCTATATTAGGCTATATGGTTTTATGTGGTCCAAATCATTTTCAGTATTGTTTACGTAGCTTTGTTTGGCTCACGTGTCTGCGAGTTTCTGAGATTATTTTTTTCTTTCCCGGCAAGGTCCAAAAATATTCCCATTTAATTGTTCTCGGCCAACTCGCGAATAACAACCCGCAAATGTTAAATTGGCGAATCTGGAGGGCTGACTGTATTGCTGTCTAGCCGTGCGTTTCTAAAAGGCCTTTTGTGCATTGATTCTCATTCATGGTGTGTTTTCTTTAATAGGGAAAATGGAGAGTCCTGAACCTGGGAACCTTGAAGATGAGATGAAAGAGGAAAGTAAGCAAGGTGAAGAAGGGAAGAAGGACACACAGGCAGAACCCTTACAGCGGCCCTTCAATTATGACGTTGTGAACGTCAGTGAGGGTTTCCTGCAGCGCATAGCATATAAGAAGAAGGTTAAGGCCTCCAAACTGGATGGGTTGCTGGAGCGGAGGGTTAAGCAATTTGCCTTGGAGGAGAAGCAAAGGGTAGAGAGGCTGAAACAGCCATCCCTCACCAAATCAGCTGGGAAGGGTCTAACTCCGCATTCGGTGCTAAAGCTGAAAGTTGAGGACAAACCTGCTATAGCCACAACGGTACTTACTCCGTCTCCCATACAGAGCAAAGGGCCTGACAAAACGGAGGTTTCCACCACCAAAGTGGGTTCTGCTCCCTTGGACAACACACCCAAAGACCCAGAAGGTACCGGAACTCAAAGTTCTGTAACGGCCAGTCAGGAAAACCAAACACACAGTCAGAAGGAAGTTGAAAAACCCTCAACGGTTCTGCCGACAGAGGCCATTTTGAAACAGGATGGCGATCAACATTCCACAGTTGATGCTGTAACACACGGACCTTATCTTGGGCTAGAGCAGCCCGTTAACCGGGTTCAGGGATCGGGGGTGGCTGGTAACCTGGATGTAACATTGGACTCAACTTGCAAGGACCAGGCTACAGGTATACAGGGCACACATGAGGCTCATGTAGTCAAGGAGCACACTGTGATAGAAGTTGAGGGCACCAATGCAGTCTCCTCTAGTCAGGAGGCAAGTGAGCAGCAAAACACTGGGAACAAAGTCACATCATCCGATTTATCGGAACCTCTATCTGACAGTAGTTCTCCGACCCAGTCTAAGGAAAGTGAATCACAGGAGAAACCCTCAGTCACACTAGACTCAAATAAATTTAATTCTAATTCTGCAGAAGATGACACAGAATTCATAGAGCAGCTTTGTCACGCTGAATTATTCAAAAAGGAAGAGGAAAAGGGAAAAAGTCCCCAAGACAATATTTCAGAAATAAAATTAAATGAAGACTCTAGAAAGGAGGGTCATGAATCAAAAGAGCAGATGGACATGGATGGTATAGCCGCTAACAGAAAAGATGCCAAGATTCCTGAAGAAAAGAAAAATAACATCTCACCTGCCCATGTCAATGGGAAGGACACAGCAGAGAGTAAGCTTATGCTGGACCCCCAAGATAGCGCTGATCTGGGTTTGGCCAACAATGTCGAGGCAAAGGTAAACAATCTGGCAAAGGTGAGTGCTGAAGGGGACATCAAAGTTCTGCCCTTGAAGGATGCCTTGAGGCCTCTCCTGAATGGTGACTTTGCCACTGATGGCTCAGAGGTGAAAGATAACAGCACGTCTTTAACTTCCTTGCCATCCAGCCCGTCTCCTGTGGTTGACGGAGAGAAGGTCACTGTGGCAGAGCCCAACTACCTTCCACCTCAAAAGGTACCTAGGCTAGACAACAACATTGAGACTGTTGACTCCACAGTAACGTCACCACCTTCCATTTTAGGCTCTGCCCCTTCTGGAGACCCACAAAGGACAGATGAGCACAATAGTGCGGAGGCAGAGCCCATGGAAGCTGAGCCTACTGTGCCCAAGAAAATAATCCCTTCCCCAGTCCTGTCTGCAGAGGAGTCCAGCCTTAGCAGTGACTTTGCAGAGGATGGAGCCTCCTCTGAAGCCAAGCCAGACACCAGCAAGACCATAATCACGCAGGTGACCACCACCACCACTACCACTGTGTCCACCGAGTCTAAAACGGTACAGATCGCAGAGGTCTCCAGTACACACAATGGCAAACCCACTGCAGTGTCAATGGCGGAAAGCTCGGCAGTTTCCACCCTCACCACCATGACCAAAACCACAGTGACCAAAGTCAGCTCTCCTACACGAGCCAGTCCGGCTGACATGGTGTCTGTGATGGAGGAGAGCAAGACCAGGGTCACCACTACTGTGACAGACTCCTCCTCTGGTCCTGCTGGGTCCTCCGTCAGCACCATGACCGTTAGCACAGAGTACTCTACCAGGGACAGAGTTAAGCTGCTTAAGTTCTCCCGCACTAAGAAGACACGTTCGGGCACGGCTCTCCCTTCATACCGCAAGTTTGTTACCAAAAGCAGCAGAAAGAGCATTTTTGTTCTCCCTAATGATGACCTGAGGAAGCTGGCGAGGCGAGGGGGAATCCGGGAAGTGCCCGTCTTCAGTTACAGTGCCAAGCCTGCCTTGGATATCTGGCCCTATCCTTCTCCCCGCCCTACCTTTGGCATTACGTGGAGGTAGGAAGGCTTCATTATTTCACCTCTGTTTACTTAATGTTTTTTGCTCAAGCCGCTTGTCATTACACTTTATTTTTTACTCTCGTTCCGTTTTGTTGTTGCCTAGAATAAATGTCTCTCAAGATCTATGGTGTGAATTTGTTGAGGTACCGATTTCAAACTGACAGTGTTTTTCAATTACCGCTTACCCTGGAAGGGGAACGTCTTCAGTCTCTTTTTGTTTTTAAATATTCATCCAACCCTTTGCATAACTCCAGATGAATGAGGCGCTCAAACTAATCCGGCACACACACACGACTGCAGTGGCAGTGCTTTAGAAAAATTCAGTCCTTATTCTGGAAAGCTGAGCACACTGACAGAGATTGGTGGTACCCGTAGGTACCGACTGCAGACGGTGAAGTCCCTGGCCGGGGTCAGTCTGATGCTTCGATTGCTGTGGGCTTGTCTGAGGTGGGATGACATGGCGGTGAAGCCATCATCTGCAGGTGGTACCACCCGCACAGGTGAGCGTCTGCTAATGCTTTTTCTCATTCTGCCAAAGAAAAACCTCTTTAATTTTTAACAGGTAGTGGTGATTTCAGGTATAGAGAGTACTAATTCAGACCCGTTGAGTACTCTGTGACTGACTTTATACTCAACCAGTTGGTTGAAACAAAATCTTTGTCTGGATTTGTACTCTCTGGAACCTGAAATCGCTACCTCTGATGTTTAATGCAATTAAAACACTTTTTTCCTGCACTTGAAGGAATATGTGTTTAAAAGTCTGGAGATGTAATTTGTATTTCTGAACACTAACCTATTCATTTGTGACCTGTTTATTAGAGGACGATGATTGTCTGTCTGATCATTCAGCGTTTTGTCATTTTGTTTCTTTGCTGTTACATGAAAGCCTGCCCATATGTGTCTCCATAGAAACTTCAGACACTGAGATCACCACGACGGAAATCATCAAGCGCCGAGATGTAGGACCATATGGCATCCGGTCAGAGTACTGTATCAGGAAGATCATCTGCCCAATCGGCGTTCCCGAAACCCCTAAAGGTAGCGCTCTCACCTTCCTGCTCTGAGTTTGTTCCTGTGATGAGCATCTCTGCCAGCTTTTCTCAGGGGCCATTCAAGGTTGTGGCATTATTAATCTTCCTCTAAAGGATTTTGGCAAATGCTAACTCATGGAAACATGAAATCAAAGATCATTTGAATGCCTTAAATCATTCTCAGCGATCTGTGTCTCCTCTTTGTCTTCTGATATGTCACCAAATGTATAGAGACTCATGGTAGGACACTTGGAGCATCTGGCTTATCTTTTATACAGAAACACCGACACCGCAGAGAAAAGGCCTGAGGTCAAGCGCCCTGAGGCCTAAGAAGCCAGAGACTGCAAAGCAGACGGGGCCCGTGGTGATTGAGACCTGGGTCCCTGAGGAAGAGCTGGATCTTTGGGAGATCAGAGCCTTTTCTGAAAGGTGATGCATTCTTTTGGATCAGAGAGCTCTGTGAAGCTAGCTGGAGCTCTATACCCAGCTTGTAAAATAATGGCAGTTACTGGAGTTGTGTATTGCCAAAAACCCTCTGCGCTAATGATTCTTCCCTTGCATTCACAGGGTCGAGAAGGAAAAAGTCCAGGCTGCAGAGCAGGCAAAGGTTAGTTAGCAAAAGAGTGTAGTGGATAAAATGGAGGATCTCCACAAACCCCTAGGTTTGGCTGCCCAGTAGGTGGGAAGACAAGGCTGTCTCCACCACACAGTTAAAATATTATGAAATTGTGAGGAGATGTGGTTTCTTTTTGTGCTGGTTTTTAATGTCAATTTGGGCTTTTTTGCTGTGGCTGCATCAACATTTTCATTTTGAGCAGTTTCATGTTTCACTGAACAAGTCTGCTTTTACCCTCTGGTGGCTATCATCTGGTTTTTGATACAGATGACACGTCTCGCACAAGAATAGTAGTGGAATTATGAGTGCTGTCTGTACCAGCCTGAATTCAATATATTCTACAATATATTCTATTTCTATTCTTGCTCAAAAATCATTGTTGTACTACCTGGGCATTATTTTTAGAATTGTTTTGATCTTTCTAGCAATTATGATTCGCTAATTTTTTTTTGTGAGTCTACCTTTTTACTGACCAAAATCTGGTATACACTGGCACACAGAAACCCTGGTACCATGACAAGCAGTAGCCCAGAAAAAAAAATCTTTAGCCCTTACTTTGTAAAATGAGGAAAAACTCATTTTAACTCCTGCTGTGGAATTTTGCATTATTTTGCATTATATAGTTTTATGTGACCAAAGGGTTAAATTTCTGAACCATGCATCATAGAAACGTCTGGAGCAGCAGAAGCTGGGAACCAGTGTAACCATCGCATCCACCCCAACCAGCAGTCCCAGCACTCCTGCCAGCGCCCCTCAGAAAGTGTTGGGGGGCACCTTCACGAGCCAGATCACACCTAGCGGAACTAAAGTGGTGCTGGCTACCAAGATGGGTTCTCCTGCAGTGACATTCCAGCAGAACAAAAACTTCCAGCAAACATTTGCTTCCTGGGTCAAACAGGGTCAGAGCAACCCAGGTAGGTGACCACTGAAAAAAGTGATGTAAGCACTTGGTTTGAAATTTGTCATTGCTTCCCATTTTGATTAGAATGGTATATTGCATGAAAAGCGCAAATGTAGCAATTCCTTCTGAAGTTTATTGACAGAAGCACGAATCTAGAGCCACGTTGTTTGCTTATTTGCTAAGCTACCTGCTGCTTGGCCTTATGAACTTGCATAATGGGCAGCAAGGTGCATATTTCTCTGGCTTTGGAATATGTCATTTACACAGCTGCTTTTTAAACCACATGTTTTCACAGTCTCCACTAGCCCCGTGGCCTCGGTGGCTACCAGTGTGACCACGTCCGGGCAGACCTTCCAGCTCACGGCGAGCCCAGTGACAGTGGCTGGCAAAGTCATCACCGCTAAGCTGCCGCTGCCCGCCAACAGCAAGATCGTCACTGTCAACGTGCCAGCCACACAAGGAGGTATGTGACGTTGGGGGGGGGCTAAGGATCTCCATCGAACACCCTTCCTGAAACTTCAAACATGTCTCTGTGAATTTGCTACACTAGTAGTAAGTTTTGCAGTAGTAAAACCTGGCCCAAACAAAACAGGATACCATGCTCAATCAAGAACCGCTCGATGTGGATCAGCTGCAAGGCTGGCAGGCAAATTGTGTAAGGAAGGAAGTATGGTTGTAATGTACATTCTTACAGTGGTGGCAGATTCAAAACTTTGTAGACAGACCGGTATTTTATCCTCATAGCTTACTTCGCTTTGGTGTAACATACGTTTATAGGAATATGTGAATGGTAAGGCTCTGCGTTATTATTTCCAAAACAAAGACATATTTTTTAAATTGCCATGAAAAAAATCCCAAGTATTTGTCAGTATAAATTTGAATCTCTTAAGGGGTCCAACGAAGTGCTCCGATCATTTCACTCTTTCCATCTTTCCAAACCTCGACAGTTGGCCCTTGGCGGCGTGCGAGGACACTTCACGATATTGGCTGTAGCTGTGTGGGGAAAAAGGTTAACCCCAAAACGCTGATTGTAAAGCGGCGTTATCGCTCATCTATCTTCTAACCACTTACCCAATAACAGAGTCACGAGCAGATCTCGGGCCAATCCCAGCGTGTGTCGCAAGGCACTGCTGCATGCCAGTCTGTCACAGAGCAGGTACACACACATCCACGCTCTATGAGCAATTTATTACAAACCGCGTGAGGAAACCAGGGTACCTAATGGAACCCTGTGAAACATGGGAACAACAGAGGACATGTGTGGGATTTCAACCCCCAGCTTTGGAGGTGTGAGCAAGCAGCGCAGCTTGCTAAGTCTCTCCGCCTCCCTCCTGTGCGTTATCGTGTTGTTCCTTTAAATAAAGAAAAGAACCTTAACATATTATACGTATTCCTCTCCAAAACGTTAGGCCAGGAGTTCTTCATGTATAACTAGTGCGTTTTTGGTTTTGGCCTCGAGTAAATGGTTACGATAATTGCTTAAATTGCTTGGAAGAGGATGTTTTAAGCTGTATTTTTCTGATGCCTAGTCGTGGGGGAGAGTACTTCAAAAACATTGAAGTGTTTATTCCAATACAGTGATGATACATTTAGCGTGACTAAGGTCTGCCGATTGTGAAGTCATTAGTGCCCCAATTGCTTTTGGCTGTTCCCGTAGTCTGTCACCCCTGTTTGTCCGCCTTCATCTTTCAAAATCCAGGCTCAGTTAAGAAACAGCAGGAAGTGTGAGCACTGTAACTCACTCGGGTTATAATGTCTTGGATCCTTCAAACCACCGTCATGGCCTCTCTGTGGCTTCCTATAAGCGCGGTTTCTCACTGTCATGATCCGTTGTCCGGAATGGCAGCATCCGTTCGCCTGAGAAATCTTGGCTCTTTCTGCTGGGCTCCTTGTTGATACCTTGGTCCCTGTGGGGAGACCCCCGCCCCTCACCCAGACCCCCGCCCCTCACCCGCACTGCTGGCAGATGGTTCATACAAAATGCAGACTGTTAATGATTAATAATCATTGACTATGATGTTTGCAGCTTGTCCTTTAGTGTAACGGCCTCAGAAAACACGGGGCTACTTAATTCAATTCCATAAACCATGACAGGGAAGATATATTAACATTTACAGGGAAGGTTGAGTTACTCCACAAACAGTCATGGCTCTCGTTCAGTGACGATGTTTCGCTAGAAAGACTGTATCAACACCATATATTTTTCCAGTATGACTCTTAAACGTTGTTTGTTTTGGAAATGGTGAGGGAAGTGAATATAAAAAACAAGTTAATCTTAGACAGGTACCATGCTATACGGTTTTTTTTTTTGCACGCCCATAATTCCATGATTTACTGTGATCACCGTTGGCCGCCGAGGGAAGAATAAAAGCCTGTCTGTGGCCTGGATGGTAGGGCTGGCCGATATCATATCGATATTATATCTCGCAATGATCACCAGGGCTTCAGATGACGGGCGAAGCATTTGTCCGGTCGGCCATTTAACGGTACTACACAGATGTCTGTTTATGCCCACAATTTGCTAAGCAGATTAGTAGTATGCCTAAAATATTTGTGCGTTTGGAGTGGTGCTGTAACGGGGAGGCATGGACTGATGACGAGTGATGACTCTCGGTTCTGCATTACCACGTATGGCCGTCGTGTGCGAGTATGGCGGCGCTGAGGGGGGAGGACCAGTCCTGCCAATGTTGTGGAGAGACACACCGGCCGTACTCCTGACATCATGGTGATGACATCAGGTCATCTCTGTTAGTGATTTGGGGGACCCTGACGGCACAGCGCTACCTCAGTGACATCCTGCATCTGCATGACTTACCCCTCCTGAGACGACACCCTGGTAGAGTCTTTCAACAAGACAATGCCCATTCCCACACAGCAGGTGTGTCTGCGGACTGACTGCGGACTGACTGCATCATGCTGAGGTCCTCCTCTCGCCAGCCAGGTCCCCCGATCTTTCCCTAATCGAACATGTGTGGGATCAGCTTGGACGTCAACTTATGTACTCCCTTCCACACTTTATCACCGCATGTATCCAGGCCTGGGGGGGGGGGGGCATACTGCCAACTCTGCTGTCCATTTGATCCGATATTATAATCATTGCGACCTTTCACCACATACACCTCAGATTCATAATTTAAAATCACATAAAACCAAACTGTAAAAAACTCCAGCGGTACGCAGACACATACTAACCTGCTTACCAAATTGTGGACATAAACGTCCGTATAGCACCAAGAAGCTGGCGTCCGGCCAAATGCTTCGGCCGTCACCTGAAGCCCTGTTGATTACTGCGCATGCGTGATGTAATATCGATATGGTATCACCCAGCCCAGCTAGATGGGGATTTTCATTACCGTCCCGGTGACGAATTTTTGAAGAGTCCAGCCAGAAATGCAATAGTGGGGCAGAATCCTGTTTTATAACATGCTGTGGTAAGAAGAAACGTGCGCTTATGAGGGTCCTGGCTCAGCGGGAATCCCTGTATTTACCCTGCCGGTAATTAAGTAATGGTTTAAAGTTAGGGAATCATGTTAGAGCCGTGGTAACCCTAAAGTAGCTAGCATCCTGCAAAAAGAAATTAACCGGGAAGAAAATAAATCAAAGTGAATTCTGGCTATAAAGCAATCTCTGTTATTGGCTAAACCAGTGCCTCCTTTATACATGGTCTTAATGTGTGTCTTTTGCCTTTTTTCCTTCTCCCCATAGGTGTTGTACAGGTCCAGCAAAAGGTTCTGGGTATCATTCCATCCAGCGCTGCAGCAGGGAACCAACAAACCTTCACTTCGCTCCAGCCCCGGACTACTACCATCAACATCCGCCCCAACACATCAGCCTCGGTTGGTGGTTCTCCCTCTCCACAGCAGGTATGTTCCAGTCATGTCCGCCAGATGGGTTCCTGAGTGCCTACAAGTCTCCCTTTAAGAGGCGAAAATAAACTCTAAGCAGCACTGGATTCTCCAGGGTAAACCAGTAATTTCTCAAACGATGTTGGGGAAAGAGTTTTTTTGTGTACGTGTTTTGGTAAGCGTGTCCTTACGCGCTGCCTCGCCGGGTTAGGTGATCACCGCGGGAACTCCACTCCGGCCCGGGATGACAGTGGTCCGCGCGCCCCTGCAGCAGGCCGGCACCCTGGGCAAGACCATCCTCAGGACACCACTGGTGGTGCAGCAAGGTATCATCCAAGCCAGTAGGTGCCACTGAGTTCCTCCTTCCCCAGCGTGCAGCTGTAGAACCTTAGGCATGTGGTCCAGTGAAGGCTGCAGAAATCTGGACTTAAACTGATTGATCTTTCTGTGAAATAGACTGTTTTCATACCCATTTATATATTTTTCACCTTGATGGAAAGTGTGTCAGTTGAGTGGGATTCTCTTGGCTTTTTATGAATACAGTAAAATCCTGTTATATTGGACTCGCTTATAACGGAATATCATCTATAACGGACGAGGTCCGCTGGTCCCGGCTGTGCGCCTTGAAGAACATGCAGAAAAAGCATCGGATATAGCAGACTCGCATATAACGGAATTTCGTTTATAAAGGACAGACAATTTGGTCCCCAGGGCCGCTTTTAGCTGTAGTTTTGTTCGGCTATAACAGACCTACAGGCTCCGCCTACAAGGCGCGTGGCGTGCCGGTGATATCCAGCGCAGATACGTACGTAGTCAGGATTATTAATAGTCACGCATCTGGTCAGGTAAAGTTGGATTACTACATGTACACTATAATAATCTATACCACTAGTGTGTCTGCTGGGGTGTGGCATGAGTAAATGGTGTCCTGTAGTTGTGTTCTGCCCATACAGCAACTCTGGATATAACGAACTTGGGAAATAACGGACTGTTTTGCCAGGTCCCTTGAAGTCCGTTATAGCTGGATTTAACTGTGTATGCTGAGTGTGTTGGAACATGCTCCTGATTCATCATAATTGTGTAGCGACGCGCTCTCCCCGTCTTCCCCGCCAACATCGTTCGTGCCTCACTGCAGGCCAGACGCAGCAGGTGGTGACGCAGATCATCCGCGGTCAGCCTGCGTCGACGGCCATCACTAGCCCCAGCGCCGTGCAGACAAGCGCCGGCCAACGCCTCATAAGCACCACCAGCCCTGCTCCCACCACCCCCTCCACCCCGCAGACGCCTCCAGGCCCCCGACCGCAGCAGGGCCAGGTCAAGCTCACCCTGGCCCAGCTCACGCAGCTCACACAGGGGGCGCAGGTGAGATGCGACTCGGGATATTCAGTTCAGTTCTGTTTGCCGGAGCCTTGAATCATCGTGTGTATGACGTAATGTGTGTCGTTTCTCTGTACTTCATGCAATGTGTTAAGGTTTAACACACCTTTATGATATTTTCCTGTGTTCCAGAAGCCGCAAGGACCAGCTGTGGAGAGGCAGCAGGTCAGCACCTCCGTGTGTCCTGGGGAACTGGTCACATGCTCACTTGGCTCCTTGGATTCCTTGCGGTCCATGGTTAAACCCCCGTGTCTGTGTGTGTGTGTGTGTGTGTGTGTTAGGGAGGCACCCAGGGCCTCACCGTGGTCATCCAGGGCCAGGGACAGACCACCGGCCAGCTGCAGGTCATCCCCCAGGGTGTGACGGTCATCCCAGGCCCCGGGCAGCAGCTCATGCAGGCCGCCCTACCCAACGGGCAGCTACAGCGCTTCCTCTTCACCCCCCTGCCCCCGCCAGTGTCCTCGGGCAACGCCACGGTCACTGCCGTCACGGCCACCAGCACCACGCCATCCGTGCTGGGTGAGCATCCCGTGGTGGCCCCACCCTGATCTGACTGCCTGTGATCAGTCGCGAAAATGAAGAAACGCCTAATTTCAGCGATAGGTAACGCGATACCCATTTATGTGCTGGTCTCTCCTCCGTTTGCAGCAGGACCAGCGGAGCAGAGAGCCATACAGGCCCAGCTCCCCATGACAGCGCAGCCCCAGATCCAGGCCCAGGCTCCAGCCTCTACTCAGCCCCAGTTGCAGGCCCCACTGCAGCCGGCCCTGCAAGCTGCCGCCCCCATCCAGGCCAGCCCCGTGGCCCCGGGAATCCCCGCCCCCACTATATCGCAAGTCCACCTCTCCCCGCAGACTCAGGCCCCCACTCCAGTGGCGGTCAAGCCGCTGCCTGCCACTAGTCAGGCATCCGTGGTGGTGGCAGCCTCAGCACCTGCCCGCGCCCAACTGCAGCTCCACCAGCCCCAGCTGATCGCCGTGCCCCAGCTGCAGCCGCAGGTGCTCTCCCAGATCCAGTCGCACGTGGCGGCCCAGATCCAGGCCCAGCCGGGCAGCATGCCGCAGCAGATCAAGCTGCAGCTGCCCATCCAGATCCAGCAGGGGGGGCAGGTGCAGGCGCACCAGATCCAGAACGTGGTCACCATCCAGACAGCCAGCGTGCAGGAGCAGCTGCAGAGGATCCAGCAGCTCCGGGAGCAGCAGCAGCAGAAGAAAAAGCAGCAGCAGGATGCCAAGCGTGAGCAGAACCTGCAGACCATCAGCCAGAGTGACATCATCCAGAAACAGGTGGGCTCCCGGCTGCTCGTCGCCATGGTGAGCCCTCTCAGGCAAACATAATATTACATCACCTCTTCTGCTCCCTCACGCGGTCTGAAGGTTTCTGCCAAGGTTTGTTGTCATAGCTGGTGGTGTCAGAGGTTAGGACAGAGGACGCCTCAGTTTTTGTTTACCTCCGTATGTGTGGCAGACGCTGGATACCCTTCTGTCCCTCAGGTGGTGATGAAGCAGAATGCTGTCATTGAGCACCTGAAGCAGAAGAAGACGCTGTCCCCAGCTGAGCGTGAGGAGAACCAGAGGTACGCCCCCTCCCTCTCTCCTGTGACCATGCCTGCTGTTGACCCTGGTGTCTGGAACTGCTGTTTGCCTGCTCCGTCAGTGTCACACTTTCCCCCCGTCGTGAGTCACCGTTTCCATCTCCGGCCAACTCCTGGAGAGGGGATGCACGCCACAAGCCAGACCTGTGGCACAGAAAGTCGATGAACTGTGGAAGCTGCCACCCCGTGCCCCTCACTGCACTCCCCCCCCCCCCCCCCCCCCCCCCCCCCCCCCCCCCCCCCCCCCTGATCCCACCCCATCTCCCATCCACCATGGTCACTTCTAACCACGTGTTCGGTCTGGGAACCAAAGCTCACCCTGACCTCTCTCAGCTAGGGGAGAAACACATGGATCTCCCTTCCAGCTGTTTCCCACACACAGGAGATTCCCGTCCATTCATGTCTGCTGCAGGCCTGTCTGGGACCCTCATATAAATAGGAGAAAAATATACACAAGCCCTTGCTTTATGTCTCTGACATGGTACTGAGGTTACGGTTGCGTTAGAATGTGAAGGATTACCTAGGTTATTAAAACAGCCCATATAACCAGTGCAAGATTTCCTGTATTTTTGTCAGGGAGAAATTGTTATAAGCTTCTCACTTGCCAAGAATTCCCACGACTGGGTGCAGTATCTATCCCACGTTCCTACGTGACTTTTTGCTCTCCTCCAACCCCCAACCCAACCCTGCCGCAGAATGATCGTGTGCAACCAGGTGATGAAGTTCATCCTGGACAAGATCGACAAGGATGAGAAGCAGGCCGCCAAGAAGCGGAAGCGGGAGGAGTCCGTGGAGCAGAAGCGCAGCAAGCAGAACGCCACGCGCCTGTCTGCGCTGCTCTTCAAGCACAAGGAGCAGCTGAAGGCGGAGATCCTCAAGAAGAGGGCCCTGCTGGACAAAGAGCTGCAGCTGGAGGTCCAGGTCAGGGTGCACTCAACACTGCCTCCTGCTTCAGGTTTTCCCATGAGGACGCAAAGCCTCTAAGGTTTTGGTTAATTTTTAAGACACGTCCGTCCTCTTATGGAAGCTTAATCTATGTCCATTCTTGGAATTTGCCCTGAGGATTTGGAGAACCTCTGACGTTGGAGGAGCTTGCGATGGTTTTCTCTCCCGTGTCACTGTGGCCAAGGCTGTTCCGCATGCTCTCTCTTAACCTCTTCATCCCCCATCTTCTAGGAGGAGCTGAAGAAGGACCTGAGCAAGCTGAGGAGGGAGAAGGAGAAGGCACAAGCAGCCGCCTCCCAGGCTGCTGCCGCCGCCGCTCAAGCCGCCGCCCAGGCCGCGGCTGCTCTCTCCTCCACAGTCTCCTCGCCGTCCACACACAAGCGCAAGCGCGACGATGACAAGGACGCCACCTCGACCAAGGCCAAGAAGAAAAAGATGATCTCGACTACCTCAAAGGATGCCAAGAAGGACACCAAACTCTACTGCATCTGCAAGACGCCCTACGACGAGTCAAAGTAAGTGGACCAAGTTTTGTAATGTACCCGTCACTGTATCGTTTCTGCCCTGTGTCTCAATGTGGTGGATCGACGGTGATGTTTGAACCGGTTGTCTTGCGTCCCCCACCTGGTCATCAGGTTCTACATCGGCTGTGACCTGTGCACAAACTGGTACCATGGGGAGTGTGTGGGTATCACGGAAAAGGAGGCCAAGAAGATGGACGACTACATCTGCAACGAGTGTAAGCGGGCACAGGAGGGCAGCACGGAGGAGCTCTACTGCATCTGCCGGACGCCGTACGACGAAGCACAGTAAGGATGTTGGCACGTTACTGCTGTAAATCAGAGTGGATGGCCTGATTCTTCAGAACGCCAGCACAGGACTGTCCAAGCCTCCCAGCTGTGAGGCTTGGTTCTGAACCCGTCCATCCGTCCTTCCATTCACTTATTCATTAACACAGTCTAGACACACTTCGGGTGTTTCACTCCAAGCTCCATTTCTTACTGGTACCGTCTCGTCTCTGCACTCCACTCCCTCCGAAGGTTCTACATTGGTTGCGACCGCTGCCAGAACTGGTACCACGGCCGCTGCGTGGGCATCCTGCAGAGCGAGGCGACGCACATCGACGAGTACGTGTGTCCGCAGTGCCAGTCCACGGAAGACGCCATGACCGTCCTGACGCCGCTCACCGACAAGGACTACGAGGGGTTAAGGAGAATCCTCCGCTCCTTGCAGGTACCCACCCATCCAACCCCCTCTTCCCTTCCACCTCCCCACCCCCCATGCCTGCCAGATAGACAAAGGAGGCCCTGTTCTTCATGTGCCCTTTATCTGATCCTGCGCCGTCCCAGGGGCTGCCGCTGGATCTCGGCCTGGGAGTGTTGTGTGTTTTTTGTTTCTTTTGTGTCTCCATCTTCCTTTTTTACTCACTGAAGATGTGCCACGAGAGGACATCTGTGTTGAACCAGCTGCTTCTAATCGTGCTGTGTTGTTTATTTTGACCTGATGACTCCAGTGCATTATTTTTGCTATGTTCTTCCTCATTTTTTAGAGTTTTACCCGTTTGCTTGTGTATCTAACAGGCCCACAAAATGGCATGGCCCTTCCTTGAGCCAGTGGATCCCAATGACGCCCCCGATTACTACGGTGTCATTAAAGAGCCCATGGGTAAGCGTGCACTGCGCCCCGCGGTGTCACAACCTCTTCTGGGATTTTGAGCAGCCTCGTCTGCCGTGTCTGTGTGGCCGATTGACCCAAAATAAAAAGTTCAGCACATGCGCCGGAGCACTCGTGTATGCGTTTTTGTTTTTTTTTTTTTTTTTTTTTTTTTAAATGCGACTGCTAAAAGTTGGTGCTCGCTTCAGGCCTAGCTAGCGGATGAATGGGCATGAAGAGGCAGGCCTCCAGCTCAGATCAAACTGCCCACCTAAACGGCTACATACGTCAGGGGTCTTTTTGAACTGCCAGGCAAACAAACAAGCGAGTAATGAGTTGCGGAAAGGCAGGAGACTGTTGCCCCCGCCCCCCCCTTTAGCGGACTGAAAATATCGGGCAGTCCGAGGCGTGCGGTCAGACGCTCGCAGAAAAAAGCGACAAACCATAATACTTTCTGCTGTTATCATTGGGGAGGGGGGGGTTGGAGAAGTGGAGCTGGTTGCATGCCCTGTTGATGTATCTTAAAAGGGCTGCGTTTAAGCAGGTAGTGAATAGAGATTTATAGTCACACTTTTGAAAGTCAGTCTGTTTGGTGTTTTTTTGTTTTTTTAAACACTTAGAGCCCCTTCATTTAGCCATGGCCAAGTTGAGGGTTATTATAGAATTTCACATATGATACTATAAAGGAATCACCTTCGGATTTCTTTTTTTATACACACATTCTCAAGGAGAAGATACAAATTTAATTTACTTAGTTGGGTAGAATGCACTCACGCAAGACGTTAGCTGTGCGTGGAAGCTGCTCTTGCGTGATCTGAGAAGCTGCATGTGGTTTATGGCCCAATCACTCGTTTTAATTAGATTTTTCCTGGCTCCTGCATTCTTCCAGCCCTTGCGTGGTCACCCTGGGATAAACCCATGGTTGGATAAAGAAAACTCCAGTAAGCTCAATAGAGAAATTACTGCTTTAAATCTCATAACATTATACGCAAGCATCGTATTTACTCAGTATCCCACGCAGGGTAATGATATTTCAGTAGCCATGTGATTTTATTCAGCTTTGATGCTTTGCAGTGTTTGTTAAAAAATGGAACTAACTAGGTTGAATGGTTCCATTGTGATTCCCAGCTTAATAGGAGCTTTAAATTGTAAAGTCAGCCTTACATCACTTAGGTTTACAGGGGCTGGACAAAATGATGGAAATGCTGCATGAAAATGGACTTAAAGTTTGAGCCTTCTAAAAAATCGTGACGGCACATACCGCACGTTGGCCCCTGAGCAATGGAAAAAACATAGTCTGAGTCATCTTTCACCCTCTTCCTTCCTTAACCCCTCTACCCGGTTGGGTTATTTATAGATAACCAACTTAAACATGGCGGAGCATCCGTAACGGCAGTCATTTTATGGGAGTCGATAAGTCTGATTGTGCTGCACGGTCGTGCAACAGAAATATTAGGCTGTTTTATGAAATGAGGTCTGCCCTGTGGTGTAAACACTTCTGTCAGTATTGTATGTAGTGTATGATGATGACCCCATACAGACCGCTAAGCCATTTGAGTGGTTTCAGGGCGATGTCTCCCAGGTCACTGTACCTAACCCTTTTTGATCCCTTATGGGAAGCCCTGGAGTGCAGTGTGTGAAGCAGATTTCCGTCTCCTCCATCACGCAAAGACCTTGGGGCTTTTTCTCTTGAGGAATGTCCAGTATCCCACTATGCGTAGTTCTGGATGTGCGTGACAGCATTACAGGAAGGACCAGTCGTCGTGAAGCCGCGGGATGACCTTTCTCTTTATTAGCTTCTGTTGTTTTGACTTGTGCCTGTCCGTACATCTGCTTGACTAGTTTTTATATTATTATATATCCCCCAATGTTTTTCCTCTCAGTGACCATCCATTGCTCTCTCTCTAGACCTAGCTACAATGGAGGACCGGTTGCAGAGACGGTTTTATGTCAAGCTAACGGAGTTTGTGGCGGATATGACCAAAATCTTCGACAACTGCCGCTACTACAACCCCAGTGACTCACCCTTCTACCAGTGCGCAGAAATTCTCGAGTCCTTCTTTGTACAGAAGCTGAAAGCTTTCAAAGCAAGCAGGTAGGACTGGCTTTGGGTCGGCTAGGTGCCTCTCTCCGGATGTGCGCCCCGTTTTGAGAAAAGCTCTACCCTCTCCTGTTTTCTACTTCCGTCTTTGCCTTCCTTCACCTTGTTGTCGTGTTGTTTTTTTTTCTTTCTTTTTATGTATCATCATTTTTTAGCTTGGCTCCTCCCCCTGCAGTCTGTCCTTGCCTTAACTTCATATATTTGCACACATATGTCCCATGGGACCATGCTTTCCTGAAAACACTGAATTTAGTCTGTGGTTTTTACATGATGCCGCATCAGTGTAAGACCAGTTTGGTTTTCAGCCGAGACTAAGTTCACACTGCGCAGTTTTCCTCATCACTTTACTGTTCTCACTGCATGACTTGTTGTCTTGTGATCAGGGTCTTGAAGTCATTGTGGTTTACACACTACATCTGACCAGCGATGGGGGGTCACACACTACATCTGAGCAGGGGGGGGGGGGGGGGGGTGGTCACACACTGCAAGATTTGTCACCAAGAGGAATCGTCTGTCTGGTCCCTAAAGTACGGTTTGTCAAGAAATTGCACATGTGAATACTTTCTGGAAACAGTATCACATACCTTCGGTTTTTAGTGACCCGGCATATAAAATTAATTGTATATCTTTCTGAACACTAGGAACAGTTTCTGAATTCTAAAGTTCAAAATTGAACTTTTACGCCTTTTTAAATTCCTTCCTCAGGTTTCACCACCCCCCCCCCCCCAGTGTCTTGTGCCGTCATTGGCTGTAGGTAGTTGCCGCTCTCATCTCCAGTGGCAACAGTTCTCATACCTACAGGATTTGGAGTCGTTGCCCGGTCCCGATATTTAGTACGCTAGATATCTGGCAGGCATGTACGATGCATGGGTGACTCTGTCGGGTGGCATCTTTGAACAGTTCACGCGTAATGATCGAGCACCGGTTGGCAGCACCGATCGCACACTGATTTGCCTCCGATCCGGAGGTTTTGTCGCCGATCTCCAAAAACTGTTGGCAAGCGGAAAATCAGGACTAAAGTCGTGTAGTGTGAACTTAGCATGAAATGCCTCTGCCATACCTTTAGACCTACCTGTGTGCATCGCAGCCGCCATGCTCATTCTGACTGACAGCACTGGTTTCCTTCGACATAGTTCAACTTCCCGGCTTCTGCTTTGCATCGTGTTGTCCATTTGCCCTGCATGCACTTATCCCATCCATTCTCTCTCTTTCTTGCAGATTGTGATGTCATAAGTCTGACGTAGTAAGCTGGAGTCTGAACTGGATGCTGGGGTCACTCTTTAATATTAAAAAATCATGGGACATTGCGCTGTCACGAAACGGCGTCAATTCTGTATGACTGCGTAAGCAAAAAGAGAAAAAGCCCATGTATCCAAACCATGACCTATAAGTAGTTTTAATAAAAGTTTTAAAAACGAAACTTCAGAGAGATCCCCAGTGATGATCACACGATGGCAGCCATGTTGAAAAAAAGTTACCTGGAAAAAAAATTAAGTGAAATGATACTGCATTTCTCATTTGTACTGTTGTGACATTTCTAAAATAACAGGAATGGTATATAAAAAGCTGAGTTTACTCTTTAAATATGATGGTTATTCACAGACAAAGTGCTAAAATAGGGTAGCTGGATATTAGAAAATTGTATAATGTATTTTTGTACAGTGTTTGCAGAATTTGTTACAAGTTCAACAACAGTGTCGTAAACTATGCCGCTTCGGTACTGGACATTAGTAGCTGGTGGTTTGAGCTAAACGACTGGTAAAGCGTAATTGACCTGTTTTTATTGTGAAGCACTGAAGCAAGTATAGTAGCTCATCACTGCTCAGCCAAGTGAAGCTGTAGTTCTTAGCTGAGATTTTAAATGAACGTGAAATTGTACGCTTTTAAAATCCTTTTGTGAAGGGTTGTTTTTATGTGAGGGAGTGATTCCCCCTTAGCCGTGATGCTGACAGGAAGGCCCTGGGTTTCCCCCCTCAGCACACTCACCAGCACTGTGTTGGCCGTTGTTATATGAAGAGCTTGTGTTACACCAACATGGCTGCTATTCATTTTTTTATGTCTCGTATCAGACCCCCTGGCATCCTGTGTATGTGTCGTTTTTTGTTTTTTTTGTTTTGTTTTGTTTTGTTTTGTTTTTGGCGATCCCTGTTGTATTTGTCTGTTTTGTGAAAACATTTAATAAAAAAAAAGAAAGAAACTCAAGGGTACTCAACTGTTCCCTCTTTCTATATTCTGTAGGTCTCATAACAACAAACTGCAGTCTTCAGCCTCTTAGAGTACACACCTCTTTGCCCTAAGCTCACAAACGGCGAGAATCTGTTGTCTCTGAACGTTATATCCAAGGCGGATCCAGGCTCCTCCTGCAGCTTTGGAACTGTCCACATCCCTGGCCCAGAGACCCCTCCCCCTCCTGCAGCCCGGCAAAAGGAGGCCTCTCCCTTTTAAACCAGCATTCCCTCCAGAAGTGCCCCCCCAGGCCCTTGCAGGGTCCACACCGCATCCAGCTGTGCTGCAAAACTTCGGAGCAAGAGAGCGGATCAGCCGTGGACAGCCAGGGGGGGCTTCAGTATGGCTTCCCAGCCTGTCATTTTTTTGGGGGGGGGATTTTTCCTTTATTGTGTTTTTTCCCCTCATGAAGAAGAATCCAGGATAGCCAGTTGTCATGCTTACTGGGGAACAGCCTGAGAACAGCTGGTTTCCATTCACATATTGAGCCTTTTGTCACGACCAAGGTGTTTTGTGTTAAATCAAACTTCACTGGACACTTTTTACTGTTTTTTTAAGCCCCTCCCTGTCCACTTTCTTTCCACAACTCTTGTATTTGAAGGATTGAGTAACATTTCACAACATTTTTTTTTTCCCCCCATCCTCCCAAACTTTCCTGGTTCTTTGGTCCCTTGGAGCAGAATGTTTTATAACAGACAGCAGCATTAAAAAAAATAAATATATATATACATTTCTATAAAATCACCATGTAGGACTGACGGACTCGAGGAGGAAGAGTTGTGTGTATTTGAAGCTATCCTGTTTGTAAAACTTTTGTCAGATTTTCTTTTTTTATTTTTATTTTTTGTATTCCAACTTACAAAACATTGATGTATAAAACTTAAGCGGATAAGACCAAGGTGTCTCCATGTGTTCTTAATTGAAGGTATTGATCCAACAAATTCATGAAACCTTTTCCAGGTCTTTTCCCAAAGAAACAAGGACAATTGGAAAGGATTAAAATCATAAAGGGCACTTTAGACCTAAATGCAGTGTCATTTCGGATACGGCACAATGCTGAACCTCCCCCACTGAAGCGTTTGGTGGCATCATGCAGCCAGCGGGTCTGAGGAACTCAGACGACTCTTTTTATGACAGCTTTTAATGCAAAGTGTTTTTTTTAACATGTTGAACATGTCAGTTTTATCAATGTTAAGCTTATGCGTTTCAGGGTGTGGTGGTAATTAAGCATTTCGCTGCAGTTCCCATGTTTTATGGAGTGAGTGGGTAGAGTTCTTGTAGTCAAGTTGAAACTGGCTGGCTGGCACACCATTTTGATGCTGTTCACCATTTTCACGATGGGTGTCCCCTTTTGTTGCCATTTGTTGCGATTTTGTTTCCGATTCGTATTAGTGACTCTCTTAATTGATTTCCAATGGCAGGTGGGGCACAAGTTCACCTGTTGGAGCTGTTTAACTCAAATGAGATTTGCATTTAGGTGAAATTGCCCTTTATGTCAAAGATGCTGCATATTGTATGCATAGTGATTTGGGGGGGGGGAGGGGGCTGTATAGATTCTTTAATGAGTTATGTAAAGGAAAACAAACTGCACATCTCCTCATAACATCGCAATATCTGTATTATTTATTCATATCTATGGAATTTAATTCATTTTGACAAATGTTTAGAAAAAAAATAATTGGAGGAAGAATCCTTTCCTACCAGTAGGGAATAGATGCTATCTATGTTTTTAACAGATTGTGGCAACTCAAAAGAGATTCTTTTTTGTACCTGATAGGACATTTCATCCTAGATAATAAAGTAATGTTTTTGACATCACCTCTGCAGTGCAGTCTTTAAGTGTCCCTTTTCCTGATTTATTTATCCTTCATATAAACCATTTTAACGGATTGTCAGCACTAGTCATCTATCTATCTGTCTTCCTGTCTGTCCATCTGTCTATGCATCTATCCATCTGTCTGTCCATTCAGAGATATCCTTTCTCAGGGATATTGATTTCAGCAAAGCAGACAAGGGGTATCATGGAGGGTGGTGGTGCTGGCCAGTGCTTGGCTGGTATTAAGGTAATACCACATATATTGCTGACTGGGCTGGTGGCAGGTGCCAGGGAGTGATGTTAAAATTTGGGGTGAAGTTGCAGTGGTACAACTTCTCACAAGCCAGTTTTCCCCACCGCGGAATAACGGATTTCCGGGACACTGCGCATCATCTGTGGGTGTCAGGGAGCTGCTGTCAATTTGCGGTGGTTCCCGGAACTTCTGGGAGAGATGGGACATCTGCATTCATTCATAGGAGTGAGTTCATCCACATTGGTGGGTCATGGATGAAGGCTTTAGTTTTCAGTACCTGGAACACCCCCCCCCCCCAAATGAAAATGGGATCATCTACGCCCTATATAAAGTGTTATCAGGAACTGAATGAAATGGATGCCGTTTTTAAAGATTCTGAAATTTAGGGTTTTTATATGTTCTGCTCTAGAAAACCTCTGCGATCTTTAAGACGCTTGTGACATGAGTGCCAAAGGATTCCTGAGCTGGGTCCTAAGTGAGCATCTTTGTGCCCGATGCAGAAGCTTCTTGTCGAGGCGTCCCTAACACCCAACCTCCGCATGGGGCTCGGTGGCGGACAGACTCCGTGCTGACAGACATCATACCTGCCTGCCTGGCACGCTTTTAACCAAATCGGGAATGAATGCACGGGCCAGATCTGTAGCAGATGATCACATGGCTTAAGTCCCCATACTTCTGTCTGTAAAATCCCATCTGCCGTGACAGCCCCCGCCATGAGGAATGCCTTTGTCGTTCCAACCCCCATTGAAGTACAGATGCTTGGGAGCTCCCGTTTCCTGCCAGCTACTGTTCCCTGCTGCCCATGGCCGACACATTGGCAGCCTGGCAACACGCTGCTGGATATAGTTGCTGCCCTCGCTGCTGCATCTCATCGCTAAAGGCGCCGGGCGTCAAGCTTCATTATGTGGGGTTTGCTTTAATAAAATCTTTCCCCAGGAAATGACACACACCAGATATTTTCATTTAGAAAAGGTAAGAGAGTTTTATTACGTCATTCTCGGATATGAGGAGTGCCAAGCTTTTCAGTGCCGTTCCACGCCTCTGTGACCCAGGTACAGGGGCAGTTTCCAGCTTGGAGTGCCCCTTGATTAAAGGCCCTCCCCTAGAGGAGGAAAAACAGAATTTCCCTCTGGTTTGCATCACCCTCTCCCTTCTTACACTGTGCTTTCCCACCTCCGTCCCCCGGGGCCACATTGGCACGGCAGACTTCCAGGTCTCTGACCTGATGGAACTCCACCCACGAATTCCCTCTGGACCCTAAATAGCCTGGATGCCGGCTAGGCGGCCAGGTGTAACAGGGATCCCGTTCTACCAATCAGATTTAACCACACAAACACGATCAAATACTGGTGGGTGCTGCCTCTTAAGTCAACTTTGTGGGTAAGCTTTTCATCTTGCACAGGTAATTAATATCAGGGAAGGTACAAGCACGTAACTGAAACCTTTTGGTCCTTATAAGCATCACTTTCTCTTTGGAAGTTCTGTTTTTCCATCTCTTCATCCCCCGCCCCATACACCCATATTCACGCTTTCTTTTACCGTAACAGTGCATTTCCTGAATTCTGATAAGGGGCAAGAAAGTGAGCGAGCGCAGAAGCAACAGTGTGTATAGTGAAGCATAGAAGCGCTTTCTGTTCTGCTGGCTGGTCTATGAGTCAGAGGCTCCCTGGGTTCCCTGCGAGTTTCCATCCAAACAGACACTCTGTTGTACTGTGGTTCCCTCAAGGAAGCGATGTAATTGGACAGCGCATATTTTGCTGCTGAAAGCACTGTGATGATAGGAGAACCTGTCTCCTGCAGAGGACTCCCGGCTATAAAGTCGCTCTGAGGAGGCTGGCTTATAATTCATGCCGTATTTGTCGCACTGGCTGAATGCGCTTAAGCATCGCGGCTTTCCCTCGATCCCGATCCTTGCTAGCAGATCAAAATAACTAATAAAACGTTATCCTCTCAAATATCAGTAAATGTCTATGGCAGTGCTGTGCCAAACCAGGATTCATTCCACTGATCTGGACTGTTTCCCAGGGTGGATGAGGATGAGAAGTTAGGGAAACAGGGAGACACCAACCCACACCAAATTTGGCTTTGGTCATGCTGAATGCCAAGCTGTAAAATTACAACGGAAAGGCACTGACGTTGTCCTGAAGCTTTGCAGCTTCAGTGCCGCATATTAAGCTGAAAGGTCATCATCTAAACAAACATGCTGTAAAAACCAGGGCTGTTCATTTGTAGTCTGTCAAATACTGGAGACAAAGTTAACGCTGATAAATAGCATTTCTAAATTATAATCTGACATGTTATGGATGTAAATGGGCCAGGGCAAAGTGTCCTTCACCTTCTCGTCTTCTGACTATGTTGGATGGTTATTGGATAGTTCTGGCAGCAGCTGCAGTGTCTCTGCCTGTGCAGCAGGGGGCAGATTTGCCAGGCTGGCTCACCGGCACCTTAAGCGCGAAGCTTCCTGTGCCTTCTGATGCCTCCTCTTATTGAACCTTTTGACGTAGTTGTTGCTGCGAATGATGCCGTCACCCGGCTTCAGCTTCCCTCCAAGAAGGGCCAGCAGGTCGTTGGTTATGTGACGCCTCCGGTGGTAAATCTGACCCATTACAACGTATCTGCTGCCTGCAACCGTCCACATCACATTTCTGTCAACAGACTCAATGTGAAGAAAACTATCAAAGTATTTTTGCTTCAGATAAAGTACAGTATGACAATAACTAATTATCTTTTCTTCCTTCCTTCCTTCCATCCATCAGTCCTTTCACCTTACAACAGACGACCCAGCATAGAGCTGAGGAATCATGTCCCTTACTGGTGTGTCTTACACAGACTTTAGATATGGGTTTGATTGTAAATGAATTTCGATTGAGCGTAAAATACACAAATCGCAGTGACTAAGTACTGGAAAAATAGTCATGGAAGATGAATGGAAAAAAATATTTACACGAAAATGTACATGTTTTTAAAATCATCTTTACACGTTTTAACTTTAAACTTTCAATCATTTAAACCCCTATTGGAATACAAGATGTTTTGCTGACTGATAACGAGAGGGTGGGGCCTTTTGGCAGGTGAACGGATGAGCACATGTGACCTCGATGCTTACCGAGCTTCAGGTCCGGACAGGGCTTGGCACACTTGTATGTGTCCAGCACCAAGATCCGCACTTTGAAGAAGTAGCTGTCGGGGGTGACGTACAAGCGACTCATTTTGTAGAAGCCGTCACTGTTGACCAGCAGTACGATCAGTCGTATTCCTCGCCGGATCACCTCGATGTCATGCACTATCCCATTGATGGCTGGGTAAGGGGGAGTACAGGATGGGGTCAGTGACCGGCCCGGGGGGGGGGGGGGGGGGGGGGGGGGACTGCAGCAAGCCAAATCTCTGCGGGTCCGGGAGCAGAAATTGAAATCAGATGGACTGTAAAGGGTGAGATGTTTTTTTTTCCCTGCACAAACCGCATAGTTCCTACTCGTTTTAGATGGCGGTAAGGGTCTACTGCAGTGATACTGTAATTGCAAACCACCATAAATTTGATAGTAAACATTGCTGTGTAAAGACCGCAAGCATGTCATGTATTTCACTATCCCCGGATTAATCTTTGACCAAAATGATAGACAGAACTTGCACATGAAGCTCACATCTCCAAAATGCACCTAAAGAACAGACACTATTTAATGCCCAGACAGCAGGGGGCGCCTTTTTAATAATACCCGCAGGCCGGCGCACTCAGCAAATTGGCCGGGGGACCTAATGTGTTTGCTTCCTTCCCAGCGGGTCTCCCCATGCCTGTCTCTTCCTGTGACCACCCCCCTTCTCATACCTTCTGTGAAACAACCACTCAAAGAAGAAGGACGGGGGACTCCCTGCAGCGGGGACTGCCCTCCTCCCCTTTTCGGGGCGGGCCGCTCGCCCTGATTGTTGCCTCAGGTGGCGCGGTCCTGCTCGAGCAGCTGCATATTTACCGAATTCGCTGTAGCAGTAATGTTCCTTCTCCTCTTTCTCTTTCCTGCACTCGCTCAGGCACACGGCTTCCTGGGAGAAGTCGGACTCTGGGGGGACAAAACAGACGTGACGTTACGAAACCCCAGCAGCCACTGCAGTATCATTACGGCAGTTGGGGACGGCCGCTGTGGCCTCATTATAAAACCATGGCGTCGCATTCCAGTCTTGGTGGTCTGCAGACGGAGGCTTTTGATATCTGCTCCAGCTTCCACTTCATCGCTGCATAATAATCGATCTCACTTAGACATATTTAAGATTTCTCGAGTTCATGCATATGAAGATTTATACAACAGATCCATTCTGGAAACCTCAGCTATGCAGGAAATTATGGCCTGAGAAGTATTTACACAAACTGAGCAGTTAGGGCGCGTGCCCGGCGCCGCACTCTGGCGGCACGATCTGGGCCAGCTCTACTGTACCTTTCTTAAGGACATCAAAGTGGTACAGCAGACTGGAAGACCTGCGGTTGAACAGAACAGAGGGTCTGCTGTTGTTCCTTCCACCCAACTGGTACAGGCTGGATTTTCCGGGCCGGTTCTCTTCGGGGTCCAGTCTCCGGTTCGGTGGGTCTCTGCGAGGGGAGGCAGGCTGGAGGGGACTCCGGGACCTGGAGTTATGGCGGACGTCTGGGTCGTCGAGGGTGGGGCTGTTGGGAAGGGGGTCTGGCACAATCTTCTGCGTGCGATTAGCAGCGGCGACCAGAGGTGTTTTGGGGAACAGTTCGGGGGCTAGGGTCCGCCCCTC